CTTTATGGTGATGACTTTAAACTTAATTCCAAGAAAAATAGAGGAAGCATGCTTTACACCATGGGATCCATTGTGCAATAAAGCCTTTTCATTGTAAGCGACACAAAATCAATAATCCTAATCTGTTTGTAAAACGGTTGATATTTTATACTGCTAGACTCTTCAGTGGAAATGCTGACTAAACAGAAAGATTGAGGTTTTTGATACACACTGATAGTTTGGAAGTTTTGCCAAGAAGCATAGGTTTTGTGTACATTGAGAGAGTCAAATAACCTCCAAGGGACTTTTCTTCATTAAACATAAATGTAGTTGATCTTCCTTCTGATTATAAATGTATCTTCTGTGACTTGTCTGATAATAGACCCAGGAATTGAGTTTAAATATGGGAAGTTGAAACCATACCAACAGTGGGCTGGATTTAAATGTTGGTTTAAATATATTTTCCAAGTGCAATCATCCCACAAGAAACAGCAAACATTATTAAATCCAGATGCAAGACACAAGCGAAGCCCTGTTGTCAATCACAGTGATAATGGTAAGTATACAACTTAAGCAGCTAATTGTTTTAATCAGCTCTGTTCATATAATCTTTTGTAGTCTTCAGCAGCAGTTTTCACATAAATAAAACTAACATTAAAACTTTTTTTTACCCTGTTTAATCCACAGTTCAGAGTTTACACTGAGCTACATTTGCTAATTGCCCACCATATAATGACAACAGTATTTCTACGCCTTTCCAGGACACATCTAAATGCAAACTTGCCATCATAATAAATGTTAACAATACTCCACAAATATTGCTTTATTGTTTATCCCCCCATTCAGTTATACAGTGTTGCTGTTAATATAGATTTTCTGCTCTGGTTCTCAAATCCACTGAAACATATGCCATTTCCCCAGCAAAATGGCCTCAAACAATCACTCACCTCCTAATTCAATAAAAACAATTTTTAAAGGGCCTTTCACGTTGGGAGGATGTCCCAAGGCAATGGGCAATCAGGGATTTGGACCCGAGCTCGGGGTCAGGATCGGGGAGGGCAGGAAGGGTGGCCGAAGGCTCGGTCGAAGTGGAGGGTTTTGAGACACACCTTGAAGCAGGCAAGGGAGGGAGGGAGGGAGCAAGGCAAAGGGAATGTGGGATGGAGTTCCAAAAGGTGGGGACAGAAAGGCTGAAGGCCCATACTGTTTGGCTTGGAGAAACAGTTACAATGCTTCCTTGTCCACCATTGCTTCCTTAAATAAACCATGAGACCCAATCACAATAATGGGTGGTTTCCATGATATTTTTGATACTTCAGGCATTTAACAGTGAGATATACAGATTATGGTTTACGATTACAAACAAATAATTAATTTTGTTTCCTTTTAAGCCTCAAAGTTAAATTGCACATTTAATTAATTTCATTGAACTTTCAGTCAGAACTAGTCACTTCTTATCTGAAACAATTAATCAACCTTCAGATGTTTGTTGTGTTTTTGGCACTAGCATGGCCTTCAAATAATTTTATTAGATTCTGGTGAGGAGCATTCAATCTCAGGCTGTCTGTGGAGACAAGAGTAAAATTCATGTAATAAAACCAAGTGAACGGGATATGAGGGATGGCGTTGTAAGAGGGCAACCAGAATAGTTTGTAAATCACTACTAACCAAATGTGAGAATTATTCTACCTTGTTACAAATCTCCATGTTGAATGGTAGAAATCAGATGGTAGTCTTTGAATGTACTTGTAAAGTTACTTACAAATATACCCCGAACGGTTCATCCATTCAAAGAGACATTACCCTTTCTACAAGCTCAGAATGTTCTGGAATATTTCATCCCTCATGGCCACATTGGAAGCACTATATGCTTTGTGATTGCTTGTAACTTGGGACAACTGAAATTCACAGAAGCAAAGTGATGTGACACAGGTGATTTAATTCAGTGCCTTTCAGTTGTCAGGGTAATAGATTCCTAATTATGTCAATTATGTGAATCCAATTTTATTCTTTATTCAACTGGGTACAACCTGAACATGGAAATCAGTTGAATTAAGTATTTGTATATTCTGAACTCACTGGTTTTGTCAAACAGAAGAATTTCTTCCACTGGGGGAATGCGATGAAATTACACTAAATAGTGTCTTCTCATGGCTTCTCAAAATCTGGTAAAAGAATGTTAAAACTAAAGACATTGTTAAGCAATCCATCTTCTGGAGCCTCGATGTAATGAAAAGATGTAATGCTGTAATCGCAATATAATTGCTGTAAGATAGCTGCTCAAAATTGATTGACAGGATTTCGGGTGGAGGAAAAATTTGATTTTTACAGATCTGCAAATCAAAGTGTTTTCAGTGGATGTTACTTAAACGTAGCAATACAAATCAGCGTATCAATGAAATGAGAATTAGAAATATTACTTTGCTTATTAATATACATGATGCAAATAGGAGTCGATCAAGAATGTGGGTAATGCTTAAGGCAAGGCAGTGAAAACTGTTAAGTTTGCAAGTTGGCACATGTCCCCTCCGCCCCTTTATAGCTGTCGTTATGCTTTATGTAGCCAACTGCAGGACAATGCAGACAGTAATAGATTCTGTGTGTGACTGGAGTGCTGCTGCTAAATGCTCAGTGCCAAAAATTCCAAGCAACTTAAAGGGAGAAAATGATATGGGTTTATTTGAGTTCGCACAGCAACTGAAATTTAAACTGAAGCATAACATCTGTTTGCCTTAATTCCACAGTTCCATCTTCGAATCCAAAGTTGAGTTACACCCCATGTACCAAGAAGAGTTTACGCCATATACTTACACTCTCAGCGACTGCACTTCTTTTTTTTGCAATTCCACCCAGGCAAATATCGCCATATAATCAATCATAAATCCGTGAATTGTAATAACAAGAATTTGGCATCAAAATTTGAGATAGCAATAGGAACTTTTACATAAAGACTATATGGTCTGCAATCTGAATGTCAATACTGGGTGCGGGGCAGTCTGCAATACAACTATCTTTCCCAGCACATTGCCTCCTCGAAACACGATTAAACCGTGAACATAGAACGCGAGTGTTGAAACGTTTTGTTACAAGAGAGCAACAATATACTTAAAGCTTTCTTGGCCGTAACTGTGGAGCGCACTCTTAAATGACAAAATAGCTTTCATTGTTAAGTTATGAGCTAGGGTTCGGAAAGCTGGACTTGATTTCTCTGGAAGATAGGAGGCTATCAAATGACACCATGGAAATTCTCCAGATTAGGAAGAGAATTGACAAGGCTGATCTGGACAAATTATTCAATGTGCAGAAGGCTTCAAACAACAGAGAATATAAATTAGAATGGAAAGAGGAATTTAGGAAGAACAAGGGAAAAGATTTCTTTCTTACCTAAATCCTTATAGTTTTCTGAGTCTGTGTCCAATTCCAATTTCCGATCCTTCAGAAACCTGTGTTGATTTTATTATTTATTAATGACCACTTTATTGCGCAGGCCATTTACACGGATGTAGAAAAAATGATTATTCTTTCGACAACAGATTTAAAAAAAAATATTTTTCATTATTCATCTTGAGTTCCAAGAGTCAAACTAAGGCTGTTATTAAGAAATAAATGCCCCTATAATTGTGCTCACGGTCTCTGCTAGTTAATATTACAGTACTATGGAAATTAAATCCATATCCCACAAAATAGTTGCACTGTGCAACCATATTTGAAACATTATCACTAGTTCATTATATATGGTGTATCAATAAAACATTTATTGATGTGTTGATATGAATCCTGCCAGAAAGTCCCAGGTTACTGTGAGGTAAAGATTGCTGGATTAAGTCGTGCCTGAATGGTAGTAAATGTTTTACTTAGATCAGTAAATGAAACACCTTTTTCCTAGTGCAGGTGTAGCAAAATTCTCTATAATTGAATGTGATGGTAAAACCAGTGCCTCTGAGTGAAAGCTGGAATTGATAAATAAATTATGGGAGATTGTTTTTCATCTAAAACAGATTTCACTGTTTTTTAGGACAACGTAATATGACCAGCTGACTCGACCACTGCCAAATAAGATGATGGAGCATCTTATAATGTTTTCTGGATCCCCACCTGTTGAGCAAATGTGACGCAGTTTGGAAAATGTCATTTAAATGAAATTTTGATGTTGCCATCAGCTCAGTGAAACATGAAAGATTTATAGTTTCTACTTTGGTCATATGATGTACTGGTTTGAAGCGGAGCATGAATATAAAACAGTACGTGATTTGCACTGAACAACCAGGGCTTTCTGAAAATATTTAAGTGCCAAGGATATATATCATCATATTAATCCTATTCGATTCCCTAATCCCCAATTACTTTAAATATATATTTTGGAGTCGCCTCTAATTTTCTCGCCGTCCCAGCTCCATTGATTAAAATGACAAATCTGCCCTTAGTTTCTGATGTCGATTGAAAAGTTCACTAAGTCCAGGTATCAAACATTTCAACAACGTGTATTTATATAGCATTTTTCACAAAGGAAGCGTCCCGGAGTGCTTGGCAGTGGCGGAGTCTGACCCTGAGCCAGGGGGAGAGGGAGGGAGGGGGGAAGTGAACATAAGTATGATTAAAAAGGAAGGTCTTTGTTGTTGTTGTTGTGTAATTAAATAGCACCAAGATTTTGGATTCACCAAAGCCACTAAACATTAAATCTATCACAATTGTTGCTCTGAATGCAAATAGAAATGCTTATAATATATATATGTATATAGAATATATATTGTTTATTGTCATTCTTTACATCAAATTAAACATTGTATGTTATGTAGAGAAAAAGCTACCCTAGTAATTACCACCTCTCTCACCAAACATGGGTCAACTATATTGAGATGTCATTTCCCAATAGACAACTTCTTTCTCGATAATCCTACGTAAATAACCCAATAAATGCTCAACTTTTAAGACCATTTTGTCAATGTCACACTATGCTCTGACGTTAGCTGTCAGTTTCTCAAAGAAATCTGCAAGTGATTGAAAATGAGAGATCTCAAAAACACTTCTTTCGTGATTTTTGTTTATTTTTGAAAATCACGTTTGCTACCAGCGAGAAGGCATATTTATACAATGACATGTGAACCACAACACATTTTAAAAAAAAACAAAAAAAAGCTGCCAATTATCATCATGGAAAAAAAAAGAATGTCACTGTCTTTCCTCACAAATTCAGGCACAGGACCACAGGTGAAAACACAGGAATAAGAGTATTCAACTAAACTAAAACATCTGGCATTGTCTGACATATTTAATAAATAACAACAGGTTAAAAGGACATGATATTTAAGCACATCATCCCACTGTGGTGTTCGCATCCCAATCATAAACTACCTGGGCTTTGCTCTTGTGATTTACGGTGTTGGAGGATCTAATTCAAAGCAATTTCTAATGGGTTTCCTTAATAAGGTTTCCTTAATACTCCCTCCAGTATCCACAAAACACCCTGCAGAAAGCCACTATGAAGGTCGCTTTTGCTGGAGAGGAGTGATTGATAGTCATCATCCTTATTTGGGAAGCCCATTAGAAATCGACGTATACTGTATTAGTCTGAATCTGAATTCTGCCACTAAATTACAGCCTTGTAATCATTCTCTCTTATCCGTTGCTTATGCATACATTCCCCCCCCCAAAAAAGATCTATGGATCATGGTGTTCCACTGCTGTCATACAATACACATCCTTCTTCTGCCTAATGGTTCTCCTATTCTATTTTGTCAGTATGCATTGTGCTTCCAGCAACATTTGTAAAAATAAAGTTTAAAAAAATTCCGAATGTATATACACAAATATTTTACAGATTTTATTTCAAAAAGTTACCCCTTTTTTTTTAGTGACTTTGCTGTTAACTTCATCTTTACCAGTATATCCATTTAAAGTCATTGTAAAAGATCTATTTTACATGGTAAAGTCAAATATTTACAATTAAAAGCAAATAAAAGCATCTCAAAATATTTAAAGGTTATAAAATATCAATATTTCCAACAATATACTAGCAAAGAACAGGTTAGGTACCATACAGCTTAACGGCAAGCACTGTACATTCATATTGTATCAATTACACATATCCAGCGTGGTGTAATAAAGGTCACATCACAATATAAATCCCAGTAAATAGTGATCACACTCCAGGTACATTGCAGAGATGAATGTTAAGCCAGAGTTATAACACTGTTTTCAAATTGTAACAGTTCAGTAAAATAGAATACTTTCTTTTTCTTAAAACACAACGCAATTAATCTTCAGGATCGGAGTTAACACTTATAATTTATGGCAATGCGAGTACCCACGCATTTAGAGAACGAACGGTCACTCTGCATTCGATGTGACCGTCACATTCGGCAGGTTGGTCGAAGAGTTGGGTTTACTGATTGCTCTGAAGACGTGTTGACGTTCCATTCCTTGCTGCCTTGTCACGTCCTCCCCGCACAAAACCTAAGGTGTTGAAAGAAAAATAAGGGACGCATTTTTGATCAGTAAGATATACTCTTCTTGAAACGATCGATCCTTCAAACTTGTAGAGGTACTGAGTAGTTACAGCAAACTCACCCGACACCACAAAGGTTTTTTGGGGGTCTGATACATGCAGAATCCCGTCATCATATTGCGGCTGCCTCATGCAACCCTAGTTTATATGCAGGTAACGATAACCTTTTACAGAAGAACTGAAGTTGCAATCTTTCTCAGGCATGTTGTGCACAACGGAGTGGTTGAATAAATGAAACATCAGGTAATTTTATACCCCAGAAAAAAATGCAACAACTTATATTACCAAACAGCCAGAACTGGCAGCGAACATGCATAAGTACTGACATGCATGAGTATGTTGGTTAAAAATAATGTATGAGATGATCTTTACTTACAATGAGAACTATTAGTGTAATGGGGACTTAAGTTAATGCTTCATATCCCAGGAGGAAAATTCAGCAAATATTTAATCAGCAAATGGCTTCATTACTCCTTGACATGAAGTAATATGAGTTCTATAGATAGTTCACGATTAAATGTTTGGAGCACTGTGACGATAAACTGGGGGTGGAGGGAGGGGGGGGGAGGAGCAGAGGAGTGCGAAACTGGGGAATCCAGTGAATAGGACGTTAGAATAATTAATCCCAGACATGATGAAAGCGTGGAAGATCTCAGCAGTAATCTGAAGACCTTGATTTCTGGATTATTGAGCGAAACACTTCCATCGATGGAAACAGTATGTTAACCTGAATGAAATACTGGTTGTTCACAGAGAATGTATACAATCAGTCTTATGAGCCACAGAAAGCTCCTTAGTAGTGTACTGTGTATGTGGTGCTTGACCTCACAGCTATAGCTCTTCTGTCCAGTGCCTTTTCTTCTTTTTCTCTGCTGGTTATTCTATTGCTTTAACTATTGTTGGGGCAATGCCATACGTGCAGACTGGAAGTAGTATTGTATTAAGTCGAAGGCAAATGAAGGTTGTACATAGTAGTGGGTTTTGTCGATACTGTTTAAAGTAGTGCTGGCCTGAGGGTGTAAATTCATTGTGTGATTTAACTTTAACTCTGACCACAGACGTGTAGTGTAGACGCAGACATTTATAAATTGCCTGCAAGGTTCAAATGGACGAATGTTAATGCAATTAGCCAAGGCAACAAGATGAAAAACAAACACAATGACCTGCTAACACAGCTGGGCAAGTTTCCTCTCATGCAAAAAAATAACATTTGAAGCAATCAGATTACCAGATTAATGTGTCGCTTGTTTTGCTGCCGGACATAAAAAAAATTGCATAATTCGTAAAAAAAAGGAAGAATTAGTAAAGAAATAAGAAACAAAGATGGACTACAGTTCCATTTTAACAGCTGGTGACAATCCAATGTTAAACACACATCCAGAATATTAATATTTAACTCATCAGTTACTGTTCCTCATGATCGTCAATCTTTAAGACACTGTTATAGCAAGATAATTGTTATAGCAAGATAGATTGATTCAATTTGATCCAAAGTACCCTAATGTAATTTCCATAAAAATATATATTATTCTATGCTCTAAACTGATAGAATGGACATTTTACATTTCTATTACCAGTTGGATAGTACCATTAACATGATTCATTAGATTATTTTAATTCTTAACCATCATTTCTATTATCTTTTATAACTATAATTTCCATCATACTTTATGCATTTCCAACTTTGAAAGAGAATAGTCCATTTAGATCAATGATCCAAACTGCAGAAGCGTATCATATTTATTTAAATTTACAGGGTTCAGATCACTGGTTTCTGAATTTGATTCTCATCTTAGAGTGCAGATCTTTTCAACTAGATTGTGCAGATTTCCTTTAGGGTGTTTTATAAATTCAATTTAAAATGAGTAATTCTGGGGAAATGAGCCCAGTTTTGTATTTCTCACAGTATCCATCACATTACCAGTTGTCCTTTTCTTCTTGTTTTAATGCATATAAAATTGATGTCTTTATCAAAACACTGATGTTTATACCGCAGTGTTTACAAATAATACAACTTGTCTGAACAGCGGCTGTGATTCACAGAGACACCAGAGTCTAAAGTTACAGCAGACAAGATGAGAGTGAAAGTTCATAAAAGTAGCAGGAGGTGTAGAACGTACCATTTTTAGTAACAGTAGTGAAGGAGATAATAGATTGAGTAGAACAGAAGTTGGAAGAAGTGAAGCTACAGTTCAGCTGCCAGATAAGGAGGAAAACACATCAAGTGAGTACATTCGAACTGCAGTGATCAGTGAAAAGATTTTAAAGAACCAGTAGCTGTCTTTGAAAATATTTTAGCATCTTTGCAAAACAAACAAACAGCTGGATGACTATCTGGTAAATCACTGTGAAAGTGCAATAGAAACACAGCACTAGGCACCCCACCCACCACCCAGGTGATTAATGGTTTTCATCTTTGAAGCACGTTATATTGTCACACCATATACACCATTTAAAACAGGTATAACTTACATTCACGTAAAACAACAACAACAAAATTACATTTATAGAGCGCTTTTCACGTCGGGAGGACGTCCCAATGCAGTAAACGGGTATAACTTGCATGCTTGGCAGTTAATTGCCACACATTTGGCAGCAATTCTACACTGAATATAGGATTTTAACAGGGCTCAGACCACACACCTCCTGTGTCCTGTGACCAGCTGTATGAGGTTGTATAAGAAGATATAACAATTCTCACCTATGCAGTGAAATTTAATGGGCTCGCTCCCTGCACAAAGCTGTCAAACCTGAATTTTATTCATGATATTGCATTCCCATTGTGTTTTACGATGATTAATTTTGAAGGCAATTGTTGGTTCTTATTCCACATAAAATCACAAGTGGTTTTTTTCTAGGCATTTTCACAGACTGCATTGTAGGTTCAGAGTAATTTCACTGAAAATTCCGGTGCTCAATCATAATCATTTATCATATTACTTAATGTGTTAGTATCATTAAGGAGAACCCTCTACTTATGGTGCCTCACTGTCCATCATCTTTGTGTGCTCCCTTCTCCTGTGCCATGAGGGTTAGGAGAGATGATGATCTCTGTGTTTAGAATAGAGCTAAATGATGAAGAATTCCAAGTGTTGAGTGTTTAAGTACTGAGAGTTCACAGTGCAGCTTTCAACCAATTAGTATAATTGAAGAATTAATAAACAGTTTGCGTTGTTAATCACATCTGCATCCGATCAAAACTCTTCATTTGTTTCATAGCTTTTTATATTGAAATTGCATTATTTAAAAAAAATATTTGGAACAATGTTTTTTTTAACCAAGTCAAACATTATACTGCTGCAAATGTCAAGCAAGCACATGAATCAGGATTCTTTCTGTTTTGGTCTTATAAGCAATAATACAATAATAATCATCCTCAGATTTGACATAGCACCTTTCACATCGAAAGGACATCTCAATGCGCTTCACAGGATTCACTGCAAAGTGCAGTGACTGATCATTTTTGTGGGCAAATGCAGCAGCCAATATTGTGCACAGTAGTGACCCCACTAACAGCCATGCAGTGAGTGATCGATTATATCTGAGGGATTGTCAGTGAGGACACACTCCCTTCTCTTTCCGAATAGTTAACGTCCACCCGATATAATGATCCCACTGCACTGTTCGATTTAATGTCTCATCCAAAGGACGCCACCTCTAACTATACAGTGTAACCCCAGCACTCGACTTGGATTGTCAACCTGCCTGATGTGTGTAAACAACGGACAAATGGAGAACATAAATTAGACTCTTGATTCTTCAAGAAAGGAAATGCATGTATCTGCTAATTATAGCCTATTCTCGAATGGTGCTGTAAAAATCTCTTTTTTTAAGCACAATCTGACGAGAGAACATGTAATGAGAGCCACACTAACCTGCTCATTCATTATTGCAGACAGTTCACTGAGCAGATCCCTGTAGTGAGACTTCATCTCATCCTGGTATTCTAATTGATCCTCTTTAATAAGTCGCTCGTTAACCTCGAGAGCATGTCCGCAAGCAGCTGCAAATTGTCTACGCAGGAGACAGAAAATAAATTAAGGGGTAGAGTTCATTATTGATTACTTTGCAATTATTTCTAGCACATTGCATCGCAAGAATAATTGGTAACATTTGGGCAGGAAGCGAAACTAGCAGAGCCAGAATAGTTTGTACAATGGGGAGGATGGATGCTTTTTCCTTGGGTAGATTGGTATTCATAAGTGGTGAAACAGTCTGGAAATGACATACAATGAGCAAAGAGGCCACCACTGATATTGCTGCAGTAGTTGTCTGAGATGGCACATTTGTTCCTTGATGTGGCAAAACTACAGTAATATGGCTCAACAGATCTGCACTTGTATATCTAGCACCGTGTGAAGTGAGCAGCATTTATTAAGGATAATACAACAATTCTTGTCATACATGGTGCAACCCTGCAGCCAACCTATAGGAGATATAATGGATGAAGATGAACTAGATGATGATTATTATTATTATGACCAAGGATAGAAATTCTAAAACCAAACTTTACCAACACAACAGTTATGCAGATTTAGCACTTTTTTATGTTTGGGAGAAAGCCACTTTATTTCTGTATGAACCTGCATAATATAAACATATTGCAATAAAATGCACAATAAAGGCACACAAAGTGTATTCAGTCCATTTAGCCTTTTAATTTCTCTCCTGTGTAAAGTGGAGATCACTTTCTCTATGAGTCATTCCCTGGTGTTGCACTTTATTTTTCCTGTATATTATAGTACAGTAAAACACAAAGAAAGAGGGCTACACCCTACAGAAATACTGACAAAACACATCTGTACTTTTGTAACCGAAGCCAAGGCAGGTTAATCTTAACAAAGCTGTTCAGAATATTTACCTGAAAATTTCTTTCAGGAGTTTTACTTGGTTGTCTGGATATTTCTTTGCATTCTTTTCCTCCAGAAATGCTCGAGCATAGGCCATGGGACCTGCATTTACCTGTGCAGAACATACAAGAGCGAATAAGCAATGGTACGTCAATGATATGAGCACAAACACAACAACAGCAACGAGGGTGAACGTGCGCTGAACACTTTCACCAGAGAAATAACCTGTAACCATTACTAGCCAAGATTAATGGTCGTCTATTCTACTTGGTTATTGCATCCCATTAAACGTAGCCCTGTCATTCATAGATGAAAGAGAAGAAATTCCCTCATACAGACTGAACCAAGTAAATGTGCAAACGAGAGCCAGATCCCTCGCTTCATTCCCAGTGATATAAACAAGCATTAATGATAATTAATGTTGGCACTTATGTCCGAGATAAATTGCCCACTTATATCTTACAATGCTTTTCAGACCACCATTACACAGAGATGTCACTCTGCATGTCACCACCTGTTCATCAGTGCAAGTACATGACTGGTCCAAGACTGTTTTGAATTTGTAACTTGGGCAAATTGATTTAGATTAGCCGAGAAGCAACTCGATTCATTGCAGACCACACGCTCTCTGATCCAATACAGATGATCAATAACAATCTAGTTGTTGAGGCATTACAGAATAAGAAGTGATTTGGAAAGTGATTAATAAGATGCGATTAGGAAAGGGGCAGACACAGTGTCACAGCTTCATAATACACTGATCACCATGATCACAGCTTAATGTGCATCATCTTCATGCAAGAGGAAACCTCTATTCTGTACAGACAGAATATCTGTAATACTGGTAAAAGATTTGTTCCACGTCACTTATAGGGCAAGTTTGACCTATTTGCTGTAGATTTTAAATCACATTAACCAAAGTGCAGTGGAGTCTCTTTTGCCATTTTGTGTTTGCAGTATGCAAAGCACTATGTGTGTATTATGTACATATATACACACACACACACACATACAACAAGGAGGATTCTTTACTAAATGGGTAATCAGTAATATACAATATGTGTTCTATTATATTGTAATAGAATAATTAATACAATCAAATTATGAAATAGGGTAATCCTATATAATTAACAAGTATCATAAATCACGACTAATATAGCAACATTTTCAAAAGAACTGGTGCTTCCAGTTGAAATGCCAAATTTGACAGATGCAGATTTGCAATTTATCTTAATTTAATTATGAAAAAGCACAGGTTTTGAAGATGAAAGGTAAGAATGACACTTGATGTTTGTGACGGTCCATTTGCACACATCCCTGCAAACTAAATGCATTACAAATGAAAGCTTGTTCAGATTAACTGCAGTGCTAAGTGTGTGGGCTGGTGGTTTGCGAGCAAATCTAAATTGAAACCTCACCCTCCCTTTTGCAGTTCAATGTTGCGTTTTATGCAGTTGAAATTAGATTCTAGCGATGCCATGCAAATCACTGACTTTTATGAGCAGAATGATGTATATATGCAATACTGCGGTAACACTCATGGTTGATGGAAATTCAATTTAGTCCAAGGCAAAATGATAACCTATTACTATGGAAATAAGAACTTGGTGAGCAAACGGAATTGGTTTCCTAGCACAGGTCAAAATTTATGTTGGAACAAAACTTTTTTTTCCTCTCTTGCATAAAAATAGGTTCAGTAGTGCAAATTAGATTTCTATAAAGTAGAAAAGTCTTGAAATTATAACATTTTGCTCCCTTTGTTAGTAATCACCAATTCAGACATTGCAATGATCAGATTTAAACCATATTAGAAATTGCATCTGGATATTTATTTTTCACAAAGTAGAGGTTCGCTTATTCTGACAACAAATATGAGCTCAACTTGGCTCTATTGCAGAATGCAATTACCGCAAAATATTTTCCGCCCATGTAAAACACGTACTGACTGTTAATGTGGAAGGAGGCGAGGATTCAATAATAAATAAAGATCTTCATGTTACTTTTTAAAAAAAAACTTAATGCACTGTTGGTTAGAAAATTACAAACTCTTTAAAAAGGACTGTCTTTTTTTATTTCTGCAAGACTGTTCATATCATGACCAAAAGGACATTAAAAGTGCCGGCATTATTAACACTTAAGATATTTTGCTTAATAAAAATGCTGTCACCTTGGCACTGACGCTTCCTTGCAGTTTGAGCTGCAGTCGAATCATGTCCACATCGTCCATATAGCAAAGGTGATTCAGTTCTGAAACCTTCTTTGACATCTCATCAATTGCCACCTCAATAGGATTGAGCTCTGTGCTTTGCTGGTCAATCACTTGAATTCTCTTCTTCACATAAGGGAACGTGTGGCTGGCTACATTCAGGAAATCATAAATAATTAAATTCCTCTCATTTTAAACGGATCACAACAAAACAATATTTTAGCTGCAGAATGACACAAAACTACAAAATAAAATTACTCTCTGATTTATTGAATAAATAATAATAATAATAATAATCCTTATATTTGATATAGCGCCTTTTCACATCAGGAGGATGTCTCAAAATGCTTCATGGGATATACTGCAAATTGCAGTGACTGTGTCATTTGTATGCAAAACCAGTAGCTAATTGCACTCAACAGTGTCCCACAAACAGCGATGAAAAGAAAGACCAATTCTATTTGGATCGGATTGTTTTGCCAGGGAACATGTGCACGAGGCTTTGGGCCATAAGTGCTGGAAAGATTCCAGGTTTTATCCAGAAATTGGGTTTGAGACACAAGATACGAGAAGGGAGCAAATTTTCATCCAATTGGCCTGATTGTCAATGATTGATAACATTGCAGGAATTGGCAAGCAACAAATTCAGTGCATTGGTGAAGTAATGAGCCTTTCCACCTTTTATCAGCAGACGGGCATTCAGTGCTTCTTTATTATTATTATTACATTAAAATAATCGCATACTTGTTAAGATTGTCCTTCTCTTGCACTGTTCTTCCACTCCACCATGTTTTTTGCCAGTGAGTGTAAAAGGAGTCTCAAACACAAAACGCCTGATATTGTGGTGACGTTCAAAATCTGTTCTCCTTTCAAGATGTTCTTTCTCATCAAAATACGGAGTGACGTAGGTGACTTGGATATAGGCGAACTTTGGATCCAAGTCTTTGGGATTGACCTGCAATGAAAAGAATAGCACATCTGAGAATCGAGATCGAGGTTTTAGACGTATATTGATATAAGTGGATTTGTATTAACATGTCTTTTTTTCAAACATTTCAGAATTGTTGGCCATTGAACGGTTATTCATTAACATACAATTTAAGATTCTTTAATGACTAGAACGTAGAGCAGCTGCATATATTTGCACCAATATTTAAAGAACTGAAGTGTTTCGGTCGCTCACTTTGTTAGAATCTTGGATCATCCTCACGTTATCTGCTCCGTATTTATCTGAATATAGTTTCAACAACCGCTGGGAGATTTCTGACAGTCCCGTGAGCTTGGGCTCTTTATAAATGTATTCCTTGCTGTCATCTTCTTCAAAAAATGCCTGTATTAAAAGAGTTGATGCATATTATACGTATGTATTATACGAATGTATAATGTGTGGCAAAGATTACTTGTTTGACCCTAGAAACTTACTCTAACTTTGAAGCCTTAAGAAGCGAGTTTAAGGTTTAAATGTTCCGTTTCGGAGCTGTTAAAATGCATCTGTAACATTCTTTCTGCACCACAATAAGGGTGGCTTTCTTACTCTCACATGCGCACACACGCACACAGATGTGTTTGTGATCAATGGTCCTACAATATTATACACAGGGCTTCTGATTTTTGGTTTGAACCGACAAAAAACGGTAAAACATCCTCAATCAAAACCGAAATGAAATCGGTGTTTATCCAATAAACACCAGAAGAAAAACCTGGTTACTCACCCCAAAAAGAACTACCACTTACATTTATATAGAGTGCAACCCCCCCAATAATAATAATAATAATATGGTCACTCAATCCATGACTGTGTGTGGGACACTGCTGTGCTCAATTGGCGACCGCGTTTCGCCCACAAAATACAGTCACTCCTCTTTATAGTATATCCTATGAAACGCTTTGAGACGTCTCGAAGACATGAGAAGGCGCTGTATGAAATGTAAGGATTATTGTTATTATTCATGTGTCTCGTAGTACTCAACTCCGAGGTGAGATTTTCCCACTCACTTCTTCTCATTATAGTAGCGAAAGCCCCACCAGGTCTCGATTTATGAACACTCTAAAATTGCTGAAAAAGAAACCCCCCCCAAAATCAAATAAATGAAGCCCCGAAAATCAGAAGTCCTAATTGTACAGCAACAATAAATGTATTTATTTATTTCTTGCTGAATGCTGCCCTCATGTGGCACAGCTTGGTATTTAACAAGAACTTTCATTGCAGCCCGTCGTTTGAACTGCAACAAGACTGTTCGGACCACTGTCAGACACCAGGCAGGAACTCATTGATAATAATAATAATAATAATAATAATAATAATAATAATCCTTGCATTTGGTATAGCGCTTTTCACGTCGGGAGGACGTCCCAAAGCGCTTCACAGAACACACTGTAAAGTGAATTGACTGTATATTTGTGGGCGAACGCGGCAGCCAATTGCGCACAGCAATGTCCCACAAACAGTCGTAGATTGAAAATGACCAATTTATTATTGTTTTTGGTTTTGGAGGGATTATTATTAGGCTCTGTGTGGAGTAAGGAAACTTGCCCAAGGTTTCGCCCTCTGCCTGGAATTGAACTCAGGTCTCTCACTTGCAAAGCGAGTGCTCTAACCACTGAGCTACACAAATTGATGGATTAAGTCTCTGAAATGAAACTTTGTGTTTTTTTTTAACACATTAAAGAGCCGAGCATTATATAGCCATTCGCCTTGGTAAAAATGGTCACTGACAAACAATTAATTTACACCCAAATGTGAAAGTTAATGAAGCAGATATGAATGTAGTGCAGCAAATATTACCTTTGGGTTTAGCTGCAAGGGGTGAGCAGGGTTAGAATGACCATATGCTGTGTGACGTATACATTACATATGATCAGGATTAACAAATCCATTAAAGGAGAATGTTATTATGGGAAGATAACAAGCCCACATCATGCCAACCATTGATTGATGGCATTTTCTTTCATGCAAGTGAAGAATAATTGTTCACAAAAATGCCTATTCAATTCAACAACGACTGGCAGACCTACGGACAGTTTGGAACATTTCCCTGACACTAGGCAATCAAAGGTGTTGCTTCCTAATATATCAACTATTGTGCAAGTGATAAGATTGCAATATATGACACCCACCACTGTGTAGCGCTCCAAGACGCTGTCCTGCATGAAGGGTGCTATATAAGTGCAAGTTGTTGTTGTTAAATAATTAGTGGGGTGGTTTATTAATTTGCTTCGATAACAAGAAATTCGCAAATTATACACGAATGAAGGCACTTTCAGAAGAATATCAGGAGGGAGAGAAAAAGCAAGAGAAAGATTAACTTACCACAGCCTTGAAGAAAGAGAGAAGAAAAGAGGAAAAAGTCTGCATTAAATATACTACAGCAAAGGAGAATAACATGTATACCGAACAGTGGACTGAATTCACTGACCAAGATAAAGCAAAGATGTTTCTGCAATGACAGCATTTACAGGAGGTACACACTGCAANTTTTTTTTAACCAATACAACCTGAAAAAACTTTGACAATTAAACAACCAAAGAAAAGGTAGGAAAGCATTAGCTTACTCTGGCTCTGAGTTCATAAGTAGAAAGTGCACAAGCAGAAAAATGTCACTGAAATACAGTGCACAGCAACACACGCAGAAGATACCCGTTGAAACGCAGTTGGAAAAGCAGCGAATACTTTTGCAAATTAAACGCTGCAGCAAAAGCAGCATGAATTTGGGATTCTTAGTACAAATGTACTTAATCGCACCGTTGGCTCTGGGATAGATTTTGAGCTTTCCCCTTACGTGAACTTCAACGAGGCAGCAAAAGTTGAAAGGAACAACAAGGAATCTGGCCACTCTCACCTGTCCATAAAACGCCACTCGGTAGTATCTTCCAAACAAGCGCTTTTCCGAATTTACAACCTCGGTGATCTTCAGGTACGATCGGTGAATGTCGTAGTATAATTCTGACAGCCTCTGTCATGAATGAAAGGTGAGTGAAATTACCATTTTTTTAAATTTTGCTTTGAAATAAGTCACGGTTCTGTTATTGACAAGAAACATTTCCGCGCTACAGAGCACTGGCGCTCGTCAGAGTCAATAGTGTCCAATGGCTGAAATGGAAGACGGATGAAATCAAGACGAAGGAAAATGAGTCATTTAAATGTATTTCATTTTTGCTTTCAATTTTCTATTAACCTCCTATTAAATACACACACACACACACAGCCTAGTTACCAAGTGATAGAGACAAAGAAGAAATGCTGGATGGATTTGAAGGTGAGAACGAGGATCTTGAACTCGACTTGTTGGGGGAAGGGAAACTTAGGGATTCTGGATGGAGGACATGATCAAGTGACTCGACACATAATTGGGGATATATATATACTCACACACACACACACACACACCAAGAAAAACAGTATTATCAGTGGGTTAAGTGGAAATTTCTCAGCTCTAAAGGAGCAAAGTTAATGCTGACGAGAGAAATTGGTATTGTTTTCATGACTTTTTTTTGAAGAATGGACGAGATTGAGGATTCAAACAATGTTATTCACTGCATTTTTGTTCAAGTCAAAGAGTTTTATGGATAGGGACAAGATCATGGTATTGGATACACTCAAATATGCAGATTTCTCCTATTTGTAAACAAAAAGAGCAACAAACATACCTTAAAATCTCTCTTTTTCTCATAAACAGTAATAACAGGCTTGTAGACATCTGCAATAAGTTCGTGCCGTTCAGATTTCCAGAGGTAGTCAACGCAAGCTTCCAGCTGCTCTACCAGGGTGTCCTATTCCCAAACATGAGATAAACATGTCAATCAGCCAGCCCAGGTATCCGGCGATGTCTGAATAGTCAACCTCAGACAACCACAACTTCGCATTTTGAAAACAACACCAAAATTACATTTATAGAGCGTGTTTCAAATCGTGAGGCTGTTCCAAGGCGCTGGACAGTCATTGGTCAGGACCTGAGCCTGGGGGAAGGGGTGGGGTAAGTGTGAAGGAAAGCAGAGAGGTGGGAGGGTGACCAAAGGCACGATCGATGAGGAGGGTCTTGAGAATGGCCTTGAAGGAGGCAAGGGAGGTAGCGAGGTGAAGGGACTGTGGGATGGAGGTCCAGAGTGAAAGGTAATACGCCCACTTAGGGGTTGTGTCTCCAACAACAACACTGTTCCATTCATATTGTGCCAAGCTTCCAATATATGGCTGTCAATGGCACATAAACCACCCAATGCTCTGCTCATGATACTGCAGATATAAGATGATTCCACACAATAAACCGTATTTTGATCGTACAGTGTTTTGTCGCACCATTTTTTACTGATATTTTTCACACCTCCGGGGCTAATCAAATTCACGGGTAAAATAGTTGCAATAAGTGAGGATGGAACTAATCTCATTAACAATCGAACGGCAACCATCACTGAACTGGGGTTTCAAAAAGTTGAAAGGATAAATCTTCAACCAGTTCCCAGTTTCAGCCACGCTTTGGAGTTGTTGGCCTGGTACAGAAATAAGAACAACTCAGACAGAGAGATACCACATGTTCACTCTTTCAGCCTGACTTGCCTTCGGGCAGGTAGATGAAGAGCAGCATTAGCACAGATTGTCCGGCTCACCCTCCACATTACAGATTAAGAAGGATCCACAGGCAACAAGATCCATAATTAAGGGTGTGACAAAGGCAAGGGCAGAATTGCCCCCTTTTCACGAGATACCAGCTACCTGCTACTATCAACTCGCAACCACAGTGACCGATATCTGCAAACAATCCGATATCTGGCCAGGAAAGTAAAGTAAAATCCACTTGACGTAATTCCTAAAACGGTAATGATTCTGACCTCGGTGTATGGGGTGTCCTGCATTCCGGAATCTTCCTTCATGGCGCCCTCTTCCTTCACGTTGGGGGTAATTGTCTCAAACGCTGGCCAGCCCATTGAGAATAACCCTGACACAAAAGTTTTTTTTGTTCAAGTGAATCGAGTTTCGCATCCACCGAGCCACGCGTATCAAAGAGTGACAATCGAACACAACGTCACAAAGAAAATTGAAGATTATTCTGTGCATTACAGATGAAACCTGCTGAGCTGTTAATGTTTCTGTGTTGGAAGGTTATATATGCGGTTAAGGAGAAAGTTTGCAGGAAAAACAAAGCACAGTTTACATCCCAGCATTGCATTCCCATTTTTTGCTGTTATGTTGGCAGTCACGAATTAGATTCTCAGCAGCACCAACAACAACTTGTCAGTGGCGGAGAATGACTCTGAGCCAGTGGGAGAGGGAGGTGACCGTAGGCACGGTCGAAGAGGAGAGTCTTCAGGGGCAAGCATTCAAAGGTGGCTCAAAATAGTTTCAAGTCTAAAAGAAACATGATAGCACATTTTCTATAAATGTGGGCATCAATGAAAGGGGGCTCTGCTAACATCTCATTAAGTTCATTGCTTTGAGCTCGTTAATAACAAATGATATTGATTGCGGGATCCATCTGCCCCTTGCAAATTCTGTTTGTTTTCTCCTCTTCTCTGATAGTAACGTAAATATTCGGGGGTGGGGGTGGGGGGGAAACAAATTAGCTTGCAATATTCCAACATGAGAACAAAATAAAAGGACTGGATTAATTTTTAATGAACGACATGAAGAGTCAGAAGAGAAAAGCAGTTGACATGAAGGTTGAGTGTACATTTGCTAAAGCCGTAATGTATAAATTAGTACTTGAATCTGTTTAAACATATTAGTAAGGAATAATCATCAAAGGCAATAAAGTACCACTGCGTTAATGAAATATGCATGGACCTGTCTTGCCACACATCACCAAGCATTGTTAGAGCACTCACTTCTTCCTTCACGTGATGTTAGTAATTGGTTACTGTCAGGGTTATGTGATTCCTCAGACAAGGTGGTGCAGAAACGAGTCACTTCTGTTTTCCAATAACCTAAAGTAGGGCAGTATGGCAATAATATCACTATTGCAGAAATACAGCAAGTACATATACATACAGAGGCTACTGTTACACACAATACATCATACAAGCTTTTACCAAAAACAAGTCAAATATCACACTGTTCCAACTGGTTAGTGTTAATGCCATTTCACTTCATGCCGATCACTAATCAGACCAAATCATTTAACACAAAACGTAAGCGACTAGTGATGGTGATCTATAACCGGATTGTGACATACTTGCTGAAGTTTGATTTATTCTCCTATTTCCTAGTTTATGCTCACCTCGTCTTCTGAGATACTCTGCTATCAGGGCAGCGATATGGATGTAGCACATTGCAGCCTGGAACACACAACAATGTCATCATCATTAATTCATAGTTCCTGCCCTCCCTTTAAACACTACAGTGACCAAGTTTAACATGTTTCAATCCAATGGTCATCATTCTGCACATTTGTGTTGCTTTCCAACAAAGGCTATAGAAATCTCCTTTTGGGAACATACACCAGACAGAGGACAAGCTACAGAATCAAGCAACATAAACTATTTCGAAGGATCATTTTATTTTACGATGAAGCTGTACTATCTACCATGCACCTTGGTACTAACACGCTTAATGTATTTTTGGCTAACGTAGCACAAAGTTATTCTCTGTCCTTCATTCTGCTGATAATTAAAACCAGTCCCTATGATATTGTCATGGCAATGAAGTCAGTGTATCCCCATGCGAGTGTTGCTGACTACAAAAGGAATCTAGGTAATATATACATCAAGCTTTGAATGAAGATTACACCTGTCCAGAAACAGGGGACAGATAAATAATTCTATTGATCAATGGGGAGTATCAATGCTAGTTAAATTAATATAAATTACCTCCGACAGGTCTCCGTTTCGGATGTGAATTTTCGCCATGCTCTCAAGCCATGTCATTCGCAGTTCAGGGGTGCTGGCGTATGAATTAGCCAGGCTGTACTGAAGGTCAATCAGCATTTCCGGATCCTTCTCATGCTCTTTCATCTGAGCTGTCGCCATTAGCACTGTTCTTATTCGCTTCGTCAAGTCTTTCACTTCCACAGGAAACAGAGTGTTCTACGGGACGCCGCCCAACGAAAATCGAGTATTTAGAAGCCGCAACATCCATTTGTCTAACTGCAAAAATCTTTTCAGATCTAAAATATTCTAATCAGCGCTGATCGTGTCAATTTATGTCAAGTACATGCCAACCCTGTTAGAACGGGTCCTAGTTCAGTGCAGGTCATCTACAAAAATGGATCATAATATTTGACCCCAAAGTTACTGAATGGGTAATAATCACTTTCCAGTGGGAAAAGAGATTGTCCCTGCTCAGGACTGATCCGCGCATTTTATACACTAATAATCCTTGCATACGTTATAGCGCCTTATCACGTCGCCAAGATGTCTAAAAGCGTTTCAAAGAATTTACTGTAAAGTGTACAGTTACTTCACAATTGTAGGTCAATGCAGCAACCCATTTGCACACAGCCATGAAATGGATGACCAATTTTATCAAGGACACCACGAGAAACTCCCTCTTCTCTTTTCAAATTGGGCCATGGCATCTTTAAAGTCCACTTGAACAGGCAGATGGAACCAAGGTTTAAATCTGATCCGAAGGACAGATTCTAAGCGCAGAATAGAGCAATAAGCATTTTAATATCTTCTTTTATTCTTAAACAAAATGGGACTTATTCACAATTGCTGCTTACTCTCATGGGTGTATCTCCGTTTGCAAAATTGTTGATAATTGCCAGTGACTGCTGGAATCGTGTGCCTCCCATTCCTACGTCTGCTATCAGTTGGCTCACAGCTTTGATAAGCTATAAAAGCAAAGAGATAAAATGAATGAATTGAAAGTCAGGTTGTACAAAGAGATTTGGAAAGCTACCAACACATTTACAATATAAAAACATCCGCATTTCTCTTCTGTTATTTTAATACTTTAAAATTCCATATATACTTTCAAGAGCGAAACATGAGTCTGAACAAAACACAGTAACACATCTGATTACATCTTCCCCCCAGTATATTAGACACACTATGTGGCATTCCTTATAATCTGCTGCTAAATACCACTGCGAGTAAGGTACAAATGATATAAAATCACTGACAAAACTAGAGTTGCTACTGATAGGTGCAAGTTGTTGTTGTTGGAGCCGCACACCATTTGCCTAAATCCTTCTCAATCTGAAGAAACTATTCTTACATTTCACTAATGCAAACTGTGTCACACTATGAGCCTTATCGTAAGTCCAGCTTCACCTAAAAAAAAAACCTACAATATTTTTGGCACTAACCTGAAGATGGGACCTGACTATTGACTTTCCTTTTGTAAACTCAAAGTTCCTCCTCATGAAGAGGTAGAGAAGAGCACAGGCTGCGGTTTGCGTAGAGCTTGATCTGTGGTTACAACACTTTAGGATTTCATAGCACAGCGTTCCACACAGCTCTGCTCGGCCTTGGAAAAACGCTGAAGGAAACTAGAGGGAAAGGAAATAAGGATGTAAAAACATGGTGCCATGAGAATAGCAAAATATACACCACATGAATGTTCATTAGCATTTTTAGTTGATGACTGTAAAATCTTAACAGTTCAGAAGACTGTTAATTGCCAGTGTCACTTTGGGAACGAGACAACTTTGAAACAAGTTGTAGCTTAAGCAAATAGCATAAGCACCACCTTGAGCTTGTAAAGTTGAGCAAAGGAAAGGAAGAAATTACTAATATTAATAAAACGCAGAAATAGTATTGTGGCTCGTAACATTACCTTGGAGACGTATAACCTGAGAGCTGCAAATACGTGTTTCAGAGCAGCTGATGACTGGTTGACTTGCAGAAACAGCAAGTAGGTGTCAAAGACTCTCTTCATCGTGGAATTATGACCATCATCCTGTTGCAGTTGTCTCTATGAAGTCAAATGACAATGAATGATTAATACCATACTGTGCAAAACACAAGCTTTACAGACTGTAACTTGACATATAATAATGGACAATAAGACATGATTTGTAGCTCCCACAATAACTCTGCTGGTAAAGTCACTCTTTGGAGTGAAACTGAATGGACAGACTTGGCTGATCTCAATGAGGGAATATAATTGCACGCATATTCAAAAAAACAAGATATGAGCCCACTCCTTTTATCACCTTCAAATACATACAATTGTGAATCATTATTTTTCCCAGAGTTTGCTGATGCCAAATACACAAGTTGGACTGTGTTATATAATAGCAACAGCATATTTGAAAATTAATTTTATATTCAACAGCATGTTTCAAGTTTCAGTGCAGTACGGTATTGAAAGTGACAATATTCACGCAAAGCAAATGCAATGTCTCAGGGTAACAAATATAAAGAACAGCACATATACCTGATGGTTCTGCATAAAGAGACAAATGATCTCAAGCACTGTTAGGCAGACCTCTGTTGCAGTGTTCGCTTCTATATCGATGAGGTTCAAGTTGTCCATTTCACTGGGAGCCCCATCTAAACAAACAGGAGACCACAGCGATTGATTAATTAGATTGCACAAAATCACTGGACATGAGCATTTTTAGATAAATGCTAAAGCACACTCCAAATGTAGAAAAAAGAGAAACTGGATCATTACAGGTCTGGTGTGCAGAATGCCAGACCACTCTGTTCCTGTTTCTGCATCGTCTACTTGCTCATCTATGCGTTAATGCGACACTGCAATATGCTTGAGTTTCGTTAGGTGGGAACCACATTGTCTACCCCGGCAACAAACTTTGGGATTGATTTATTTAAATGAGGTAACACAATATATTCTGCTCTTCCTGACATCGAAGCAGTATTTGCGTTGAGGGTCAAAATACATTGTTTACTTGTTTGAAATGGAAAGTGTACAGAGGTTCAAAATGGCCATAGAATTGGAAAGTTCAGGTTTTTTTCATTCCTCATTCCCCGCTCTTTACTGGAAACAAGTTTCAATGAGGGCTCAACACATGGTTCCTTCTTTACGTACTGATCATTATGCTGGAAACGTCCATCATTTGCAGCAGTTTGGGGTTGGACAGAGCATTCTTCCCACGTATTATAGGCATCGTCTGTGACCTGCCGTGCCGACTGTCATGTCCGGAGTGTATCCTGGTAAATAAAGAATTACGTACACACTGAATGAAACACAAAAAATAATGAAGGTTTATAGCGGTTACCATAACAAGGTCATTTGCATGAAATCCGAAGAGACAGGTGTCTGAATGCACTTCAGACTTCACATTTTTGAGCGTAACTCATGTTTTTGTTTAATTTCCAATCAAAGAAATTTACAGCACAGAAGAAGGGCATTTGGCCCATTGGCCTGTGGTGGCTCTTTGAAGAAACGATCCATTGAGTTCCATTTACCCGCCTTTTCTCCAAACCCATGCAAATGACTCCTTTTTAGATATCTGTCAAGTTCACTCTTGAAAGCTAATGTGGATTCTGCCTCAACCACAACACTTATCAGAGGATTCTACATACAAATACCCCTCACTTGGTGTAAAGTAAAATCCTCCTCATCTCCTCCTTCGCAAATTATCTTAAATTGATGCCCTCTAGTCGCTGACTCAAGACCAATGGAAATAATTTAGAAAAGCCTCTCATAATTTCTGTTAAAAATGTCAATTCATTTGAGGTTTCATCCAAATTCTGCGTTAAAAAGCTCTTTAAATGCAACGACAATAACTTGATTTACATAGTGCCTTCACACAGGATAGCATCTCGGAGCGCTGAAGACAAATATGCTGATGTTTGACACACATTGATGCTTGCTGTTTTGCCCAACAGATTGCTCATTTAATTCAATACATTTCTTAACATTAAAGTAACTGACGCCTTTAAAAAAAACGCTGAACACCCTTTTCTAAATAAATTGATTCCATTAGATAGTAAGGAAGCTTTACCAACCATTGTGAGAGGAGGCTAGAACTCTGATGAGTGGGGTTCGACCCTTTGAGAGTGCCATTACTCTGGCTGCTCTGTGCAAGTTTAGCTGCAGCAGCTAACTTCCTGTTTAAGAATAAATTCAACGCGATTAAAGTCATACAAAATGAATCAAGCAATGAGATACTTTGTGAAAATCGCAGTTAGTCAAAACAATTGCTCACTATTTATATTCTGGAAGTCATTCTTCCGTTATCATTATTAATGCAAAGTTAGAAAAGTTTATGTCAGCAGCAAAACGTTAGATAATAATTATTATTAATAATTATTAATATTATTATAATAGATAATCCTGAAGCAGTCTCCAGGCAAAGACAAAATACATATCTGATGGGTAATCTGTCAGACCTGACACAGAAATATTTAATTAGTGTTCCTTTTATACCAGAGCAAATGATGTGTGATCGCTTGCAGTGATACAGTGTGGTGAATGGTGAGATCAGAATTGTACTGCTTGTTCTCATCTTTAGAAAATTGATTGAATGATTCCCGTACATTTCCATGATTTAAATCTGATCTGCCTTCTTTCAGACAAACGCTTCTTCCCAGCATTGTGGCACCCATCGGGTATTTGTCCATCTTAGTCTGAACCTGTCCCTATAACTTCTAAGTAAAAACACATCTGGCCATACCTGCATTCAGTATTCTTTCCAAGCAAGTCATGTACCATTTATTTTCTCCTGTCTCAGTGAAATAATAATAATCCTTGCATTTGATATAGTGTTTATCACGTCTTCTAAAACCCAGGTCTCTCGCTTGCGAGACGAGCGATCTAACCACTGAGCTACAGGACTCCACACTAAAGTATAGTGACTGTACATTTTGTGGGCGAAATATCAAGCTTTATCTGCGGATACCCAAAAACATTTTGAACAGTGACAAGACAAAAAAAAACAAGCAGCAACTGACCTGTTTTGCTATTTCATAAAATTAAAATAATAATAATTCTTGCATTTGACATAGCACCTTATCACGTCTTCAAGACATTTCAAAGCGCTTCACAGAATATACTGTAAAGTTAAATCATCATTACCTTGCAATATGTCTCTTCCCTAGAAACCTGAAATGCTGAACGCAAACTCTGAAAGAATGAAAGAGGTTCAAGCATTAAATGTCGGCTCGCCATGATGTTGCAATAAAGCAAGTGTTTGTTTTTGAGGTGAGGTTCCAGGTGAAGTGTTTCCGAAAACATTCACAATAAAATGAGAGAGAGGAACAAAAGCACGGTCAAAGTGGCAGGTCTTGACAAACGGGCATATCTGCATTTAGTTAAATTTCTCTTGCGTTCTATTGTATTATTTTTCATTTTGTTATACAAAATGAAGCTTCAAAATAAAAATAAAAAGCCAAATGTAAGCTTAAAGCCATCACATCATCCCCAGTGCATGATATTTCTCAATACTTCTTACATTTGGTATATTTCATGTCAGGAGGACGTCCCAAAGCACTTCACAGGGTTTGCTGTAAAGGGCAGTGATTGTGTATTTGTAGGCGAAATACATTTTATTTTATAACTGCTCCGTGCACAGAATTGTTATTGTAGTCTGCATCAGGAAACTTTTTTTTTTACTTACTCTAAGATATTGAAGAAATCGGTTAGCTCACAGTATGGGGCTTTAGACCAGTAAGCCCTTAAAATCTCTGAAAAGAAGCAGACATATTATTTCTTTTACATTAGCCTGGCATTGTCTGACATTTTAATTATTGATAACTTCATCGTTTGAACCACAAAACACGTGCAGCGTTTTAATTATTTCACGACTTTTATAAGCTTTTATGCAAAACTACAAAATCTAAACGTATTGCATTATTTTGTTTGGTTGTAGAAAATATATCACCTAAATAATAATAATCCTTGCATAATAATAATAATACTTTCAAAAAGAAAAGACCAAATTTAAACAATGAAAAAAAGACATTTATTCGGTATTATAATGTTACAATTGTACCTCATGTTTGAAGGCAAATCACCAGTGTTTGGTTACCATTGGTGAAGCTAGATAGGGGCTCAGACAATAAGACCTGCACTGGAGTGGTGCCCGACATCATTAGAGAAGCTTACAGTAGGATTTAAACCAGGACGGTACAAACGCATCAGGATGCGAAGAGCACTGAGCTTACTCCCAGTGGTCCAAAACTCTGGATAATCCGGGAACAATGAATGGAGAGTTTAAACGTTATTAGTTTGTAAGGCTCCATAATAACATACTTATAACCATGCATCAATCAAAGAGCACATGGTCAGAATAAAGTGGGGCAGGGGGAAGTAAGTGGAATTTGCAGTGAAGGGTGGAAAGGACAAATTGTCTCACTGCTCCACATCTTTGCATTGGCCCAGCAGCATAAATACAGCAGCTAATGCCTCATTGACTATTACAATTATACAGAGCAACCAAATGTCTGGGCTTGGTAAGAGTACATCAGCAAAGAACAGTCTTACCCTCAGAAACTGTTTTCATAATATGGAGGAAGCATGTAAGTAAACTGCGTGTTTCTGCCTGGTCCAATTTGTCAAAGCGAATAGTTGATCCAATCAAAGACAATGGTCTGGAATAAGTCTGGAGAGTTAAAGACATAGCTATTAAACTAACGTGTGGCTGAGTGGAAGTTATTTTAGTGATTTGATAACCTAAATTCTCAAGTTTGCCTCAATCTGGTCTTTCCAGCTAGATATACATGTTCAATCAAGGGTATTAGTGGATTAAACGTATGTGTTTTAGTACTCCTCTATAGATCAGTTTATCCATCCTCTTTGAGAATGTTTCAGAGGCCGCACAGTGAGTGACTAGATGAGTAATGTCATGCGTTCACAATGAGCCTGCCTTGCAAAGTGTCCTGCCTCCTATCGACTAGAACTGAGACCTAATGATAGTCACAGAGAGTGCATGGCATCCAGGCTGGAGGATGGAAGTGTTGCATGGGGGTGAGAAGGCTCAAAGGGGAGATGCAGGGAGATACGATCAGAAAGGAAAAACGTGTGACATACAACACACATGACCAGCAAGGTCTAACCAAGACTGCTTTGGTGATGTTGCATAATGTATAGAAACATGCACTTGCACTTATATAGCACCCTCCACGCAGGGTAGAGTCTCAGAGCGCTTAACAGCGGGGGGAGTGGGGAGGTGGCCGTATGCATGGTCGAAGAGGAAAATTTTCAGGCGGGACTTGAAAGAGAGGAGAGAGTGGGGCAAGGCGGAGGGACTGAGGGAGAGTGTTCCAGATGTTTTAGGACGTAGTGGCTGAAAGCGCAAACTCCGTTGGTGGGGTTGAGGGTGCGAGGGATGAACAGAGTTTCACTTCTCCAATTATGTGCCAACTGCGATTCACTTCTTTAAAAATTATACCTTTTCACAGGAATCGTGTTTTTCACTCATTTTCTCACAAGCGCCTGAGGTAGAATCCAGACTGCCAAGTGAACCTCTGGAGTCCGCATGGGATACCGTTGACATAGCTACAGATGAAATAACTAAAAATAGTACCATAAATGTCACTCGGACGATAATACGACAATTTTAATCAAGGAAAAAAAACCCCCACCTTATTCAAGATTTGCAAAACTTTTTAAATGTATTTACGATTGGGGTAACTTGATAGATCACCATCTATTTAGTTTGCTGAAAATGTAATTTTTAAGTGATTCGGAAAGTACCTTGAGTATCAAACAAGCGAGGATAAATTAAGCTAAGCTTCAGTAAGAGTAAATATAAGAGATGTGTGCCTTTTATATAGAACATTTTATATAGAACGAGTTACAAAGAAAATCAATCAGACATACCTGCTATTGAATTCAACACGTCTTTTGAGACTGAAGCTTCCAGTGAATTGGTATTACGGGTTGGGGTGGTTGATTGATTCTGTGACCCAGCAGCAGCACTCAAGTCATCCCTGGAACCCTGTCATTTAAGCCAGAATATCAGCAATATTCTTACACCCAAAGCTTTAATTTTCACTTGCTATCAATCAATCAAGTGAATAAGAAAACAACTTTTTTTTTCCTATAATTCAGTTGTCAAAAACAAACGCCAATTTAGGCGGATTTCTATCATTGTATATTAATTAATATACCATTTACTGCGACTAAAGCAGAAATAAATAGAACTGCTTTTTTTTAAAAAATGCCATAAAAAAGCTGCCATCAATCATGAGTTCAATTTTACTCGTTCTTTATGTGACTCGGTCACACTAACCGGATTAGAGGAACTGAGGTTGAACGGAAACATGTCCTTCATAAATATCCTGGGAAGGTTGTCAAGAAGTATACCATACAGTGGCAGGTATAAAGTGGCGATTTTTTCCTGTTGACTCTGGAAAGAAAACAGACGGGTGAGCAGAGCCGAATCAACTTAAATAACATTAACCTTAAGTAATTTCGAGGTGCAGAAATCCAATGGATTTTATATTATTTATTAACCTTCCCCATTTATTTTGTGCACCTGATTTCTTACACTGTTCTCCAGACAAAAGGATGGGTGGCAAACCCATACGCAAGACTCTGCCAGTGACTCTCTACAGCGAACTATTAAGTCGTAAACGTGAACTGATTTGACCACCTCCCTTCATTCTGAATGCCTTCCCCCCACCAGAAACAAGGTGGTTACAATCATGGAATAGATATGAGCAAAGTTTAATCTGTAAAAACAAAACTTTAATCAAACCGTTTTAAATTTAATTCAAAAGTCGGAAAGTTGCAAAGCACCACAAGTTACTACACAGTGCCACACACTACAAACTGATGGTTTAGTTCCAGTACCTTTCCGGCATATCGGTTGTCAAAGGAATGCTTTGCCATGAGATTTTTCAGGACAGCAATTGCAAGGTGCCTGATATCCTGATCTTCCTGTAGTGCAAATCCAACTTCACGGAGCAATAGTCCAACGAGAAAATGATTATGGCAAAATTCGTTTGTCAAGGTATATTCCGGATGCACACCTATTCCAGAGGAAAATAAACACATACATGATCTTATAACCATGGAGACTACATGAGCACTTACTATTAAAATCACTGCTTTCTGGTATAAAAGGAAATAAATACCGAATTATGCATGAGATATCCATCTGAATAGGCACATATTTAACGTATCATAACGTATCAGCTGGACTGAGCTCAAATCCCTGGAGCTTGAATCTTTCTGACCTAGAGGCTAGGATGCTACCAACTGAGCCAAGCTGACACAAACATGGAGCATTACAGTTGACAGAGATACAGTTGAATAGAAAAAAAAATCTTTTTAAAAAAACGCATAAGCAGGACATATGATATTCAATGTAAAATGTAAATGAAACGCTGTTTCGTCTTTACTTTGTTTACCTGTCTTGCTCTTCAGAAACACTGTGGGCAGGTTGAGAGGAATAAAGTGCTCATGGTTGCAAACTTCTCGAAGAAAATCAAACTTAAATTCAAACAAGGTCTGAAATTGAAAGGGAAATTAAGCTATAAAATGCTTTAAAATGTATTCACAAATGTTTTGCATGCCTTGCTTCATTTTATGTCGATTAACAATCATCTGACTTACTTTATTATCTCCAGGATTGAATAAGTTCACATAATTGCCAATGAGTTTCAATACGAATCCTCTGTCCATAAGGGTCAGACTTCGCTGTAAAAAAAATATGAATCATGCTGGTATTTTATTGAATTATCAGCAAGCAAATATTCATAAAGATAAACAATTTACAGTATTTTAGAGGTAATATGCTGTTGAATATAACTTTAATAGATTTTCAAGTTGCCAAACACATAATTGATAAAAAGAGGGATTTCAGCACAAAAAGTCACTTGGCTAATCATGTCTATTACTCCATTTGAGGTATCTTATAAAGAGAAGTGGGGTTATCTCCTAGTGAGCTGACCAATAATCTCCCCAATAAAATATTGCTCATTCAACTACACGCTGTTTGTGGGTCATTGCTGTATGCAACTTGGCTGCAGTGTTTGCCTGCAAAACACACAGTCACTACACTTGACAGTGTATTCTGTGAAGCGCTTTGATATGTCTTGAAGATGTGATAAGGCGCTATATCAAATGCAAGGATTATTACTATTATTATATCAGATTTGCAGAATTTGGCAAAGGATTGAATTCCGTTTCAACTTTGAAGGTCGTTTTGTGTCGTTCTTAAAAGAAACTTACCGAAAACCAGCTTCAAAATTAAAGACAATTTAAGAAATTGACAAGATCTGCGCGCTTTGAAATGCTAAGTTGAATGAATACATCTCGACCCAAGTGGAATTTTTACCAGTAAATTTATTACAGGGCGGTGTTGTATTTCCGCCCACAAAATACGCAGTCAATTCACTTTACAGTATATCCTGTGAAGCGCTTTGAGAAGACTCAAAGATGCGATAAGGCACTATATCAAATGTAAGGATTATTATTAATTCCAGGGCAGTAATGCATTTTCTGATTGAGAAAATCTTACCTTTACAAACATGGCGAGGAAACGGTTTGCCTCCCTTGTTTCTTCTTCAGTTTCTCTGAACTTCTTGTAGATGATTTCTCCCAAGGTGGTCACCAGGACCTCCATCATTCTATGACAGGACGATGGAAACCTCTCAGTACGCTTCAGCTACGCATTTCAGAGAAAAACAATGAATGGAATGGAATGATTTCTCAAATTCAATGGAAAATACGTCACCACATCCNAAAAACTTAATCGTGACAACCTTTTGAACATTTCTCCTTATCGTAAAGTTAATCTGAGTGAAACCAAAATATCTGATATAAATAGGGAGGTTTATATCACAGTTACAGTCAAATCCCACTATTTTTAGTATATTTATTTGGTACTGCTTAATGTATCCCAACATGACTCTAATGTTACACATGTTTGCATCCGCATGCTTTGTGTTTTCCCACATTGTCCTACCTGCATCTTGTTGTTGTCGACTAAATACTGCGCCAGTGACTTTATGATGATTTCATAGAAGAACCAGGAATGCTGAAAAACAATGTGGACACTATCAGAATGTGACTCGATTTGGATCATTTCTATTCCAATGTCTTAGCAATACATGAACCATCAAGTCGTGAGAGCAACTGAGCACACAATGCAAAATTACATTTGTATAGCGCCTTCCCCATCGGGAGGATGTCCCAAGGCGCTGGACAGTCAGGGATTTGGACCTGAGCTGGGGTTTGGGATTGGGGAGGGTGGAGGCCAAGGGGAATGGCATAGTTGTTCAAACTTACCTTACGCTTAACAAACAGAACCACGATACTTCATCTGCAATAAAATCTCAGGCCCAGTGTGAGCTCTCAGGGTTCTGCCTACAATACAGCAGATTCCTTAGAAAAAATCCTGTTTACTTCATGGGTGATTTGCGCAGTGGTGACATAGCTAAGAGTAGTGCGTTTAGATGCTAATACTCCAAATGGTAAAAAAAAAAGGTCATTGAGATACATACTTAATTGGCTGGCTCATAACGGCTTCACATCGACCAGGTTCAAATTCATGATGCCTTAGTGAGCTAAGAGCTACTTATTGTTATTTGAATTTTTAAAACTATTTTGCTTAATTCCAATAAAAAAATACCTTTAGCAAATGCTTCATTTCAGCTGCCTCTGAAGATTTCAGGACTTCAGTCATGCCTTTCATAAGCTCTTCGTGAACTGTTTGCTGTTTCAACTCAGAGAATTCAGCCTTGAAAACAAACTGCAAGCAACAGAAATTGGAAATAAGATGGGTGATCAATTCATCACACTACATAATATGCAAAACTTAACAAGCATGTCAGTTATTAAATACTCTGGCACAACATAAGACAATCAGTAATCGTACAATATAATTAATTTCCTGTCACTAGGTGCTTGAAATCCCTCTCGCCAATTAGTTAGTTTTCTGAAATGCTCTTCGCGTGGAATACCGCTCCTACTTTCCCAAAAGGACGTAAATGTGGCATGCAAAAGTGTTTATTCCCCCTGGGAGTAGGTGTATGATTCTGCTCTTTATTTCCACACAACAGCAAAGCTGAGATCAAGAACTTAACAAAGGAGGGAACAGAATCAATGTCCTTATTCCAAAGTGTTGCATGTTGCTGTCCTAATTTGCATCATTAATATTGGGTCGCATTTCACTTTGTAATATTTCCGCAGAAACTAAATAACTAAACATACTAAATATGCAAACACACACAGGTCTGTGGGTATGCACGTTTCTTACGCAAGGATCTTAAAATGTGGCTTGTGAAACTATGTCCCATACCTTTACGTAAGAGCGGAGGTAGCTGTCCAAATTTTCCTCGTGGCATTTTGCAACAATATTAACGATAACCCTGAAAAACAGGAGAAACAATTTTTAAGACGTAATAATAAATAACAATCCTTGCATTTGAAATAGGGCCTTTCACAGCGGGAGGACGACTTAAAGACATTCACAGGATATACTGTGAAATGTATCGACTGGGTATTTAGTAGATGAATGTGGCAGCCAATTTGTGCAATTTATCAAACTACACAATCCAACTTGGAAACTGAAAGCATAAATATCGAAGATCATACATAGTCAAAAACCCAAATAAATATTTTTGTATTCAGGAGAAAGCCCTTTGTATTAAAACAATAATGGGCACGTAACAAGGGTAATAGTGGATCAGTAGCATTCCATTACTTGCTTTAATCCTGTTACAAAACAATACGAGTTACACATAAATCCTGCAGCTTCCACACAGTGAAATGCAACAAACAAATTAATGCCACCCAACTGGTGCAATATCCTCTACGTGTAATTTATGCTGTTGTAAAGGGGGAGAGCTAAAATAAAGGAGTCATATCCAATCTGTGCTGATTTTCTGATTCAAAAGTGCTTTGAGACAGCAGAAAACCCCTAAGGCAGATGTTACATTTACAAGTACTGCGATTCTACTCCAACATCTGGGGACAATTTATCCTGAATGTGAAAGTTTTATTTGCAATAAATCTTTCGCTTTGATCCTCGATCTGAATTTTAAATTCTGAAACTATGAAGTGCCGTCAAAGTGACCTTTGCACCAGAGCCTAAAGTGGAACAAAATACCAGATGTACAGACAGATAATGTCAGAGGACAGTGGTGTATCGAGTATTCAGTCATTTATTAAATAACATAGCAGTAAAAAGAAATCCTATTCAGACCCCACGTGCTTGTGATCAAATTTATTTTCCTCTGCACCCGTGAAGAGCATTTTTATCCATCTAACCTGGTGGTGGCAGTAGTGACTTCACTTTGATCATTCTCTGTCAAGATGCAAAACAGCTGATCTAGAAGAACAGGAAGGAACCTCACAATCACATGGATCCTTTCAATGCCAAGTAGACCCTGGAACAAACAGAAGCAGCTTGAGAAGCAAATCGAAAAGCTCGGACAAAGTGTTGCGATGAATTAAGCATGATATCACTTAGGAGTACTGCTCCTGCTGTATTCTAATGTCTTTCCTTATATCTAGTATCTAGTTTGTAGTTAAGCACTAAATAGTCACACTGCTTATTCATACATAATGTGATTGATGGACAGACAGATCCTACTTAGGATCATCGACCCTTAACAATAATAGAGGACATCGCTCATCTGGGCCACGTTTACTTTTTCACATCATTTCTACATAGTAAATTGCCAGTCAAAGATTGGCCAGAGCTTCAGTAGCTATGAAAACGGTTTTACGTCAAGGGGGGAAAAGTAGGCTGGTCCCACCACCCAAAACACACAGTGGGAGCAGAAAGAAAACAATGGCAATATAAGAAAGAGAAGGTATAATGACATTTTAAAATGATTTGAAGAAGAGCAAGGGGGAAATGTGTCTGAAAAAAGGGAAGGAACGAGAATAGGCAACAAGAGTGAACAGAAAGGAAAAAAGGGAATATTTAAAATGTTTATTCTGACCTTAAATTGTGGTTTTAGTATTGCTTTTAGTATCACTGATATGGTATTAAGCTATTGTTCAGTGCCAGTTGGCAACTGGATCAGAAGATCGAGTCCCACACCAGGATTTGAGCTAATAATCTACCTTGACATTTCAAAGCAGAACTAGCGATGCTGTCCTTCAGCTGAAATGTTAAACCAAGTTCCTGTCTGGTGGTTTGGTTGCATGTTAAAGTCCAATAAGCATGATTTAAAAGAGAACAGAGGGATCTGCAGATGACCTGGCCAACGTTTTTCCCTCAGCAAAGTAAGAAAGTAAAACAAAACAGGTGAATTAATCTCAAACCTGAATGTGGAATGTTAATGGCATGGATTAGCTGTCAAGGTTGGGCCCACTCGAACAGTTAATGCAAAACAAATCACTGTGTGAAGTTACAAGGTGATTAGTTGTAATGGTTGTTATTCAGTTGTGTAATATCAGTGTTTATTCAGTCACCGTACATGAACTGGAAGTGTTTTGAGTAGCTCAGTGTACAGCAAAAAGATTTTAGTACATTCAACCTATTATCTAAGGGTCCAAATTTATGGTCCAAATATTCACAGAGCCACAAACACATGACTGTAATCCTTTAAAAGTAGTGCGTGCGCGACGGTTTTGCTTAAGTTACGACCCGAAGTTTTTGCCCTTAAAATGTTCAAACCTTGATAGAGTTGACAAAATCTGAAGAGGGAGCCTGAGACACTTCCTGTTTCCTTCGTTGACATTGCTGAAAAAAGTTGTTCAATTTCTCCTCCTGGAAAAGATAGGTGTGAACTTGAATTCTCACGTCTGGTTTGACACGTGTATTAAATGGAAGTCAGACAGTTCTGTATATTATTACAAAATGATTTTCCAAACCTGAGTGTAAATTGTAGACACCATATTCACAGAAACTTTGAAGAGTGACTTCCCTCCATCAACCCATTTTACATCAGATCCACATGACTGCGAAAAAAAGCATTGATTTTAAGATTAACCAATTTCTTTCCAAACCAGAGTACACGCACAACTGCTGCTGACTTACAGTAGAGCCCTGTTACACCGTGGTAATGTGTGTATGTGTGTGGGCATCAAGCCAGGGTTATACAGGCCTTGATCATGGTCAATGCTTCTTCATTCTACATGCATGTGAGAAGCAGCCAGCGCTATGCAGAAAGAACAGGATTTGAAAGGACCAAGCCAGCAAATTTGGGATACTTTACAGGGCAAATATCGTGGTCCACACCCCAATCCCGCTATAAGCAAACCCGCGTTATAACGGAGCATGTTATGACAGAGTTCTGCTGTATAAACTACCTCTTCAGACACATTTCCCCTTTGCCTGCACGTTAGAAAAAATGAACAAAACACTAAACGTGTTGGTATTTAATACAGAGAGCATAATTAATTATCTCCATTACTTTTGTCATCTCGCACAAAAAAAAAGCATGACAATGTAAATCTTTGAAATGCAGAAAAAGCCAAGTACTGTATGAGACGTGTAACTAACTGGCTTTGAATTGTTCATCGACTTTGCTTCCCCCTTTACTGCTCCTCTCTTGATTCAGGCTAGTCATTCATGATAAGGTACAATTTCACAGCTGCCAGCAGCCCTCAGCATCTCAGCCAAGAGCCCGTTCTTAGTACATGAGCCTAATAGAGAGTAGCAATGGGTCATTCAACCGTGGGAAGGTGGTGGGAGGGAGGGAGGGAGGAAACACAGCCAAATCTGATATTATCCTAACCCACTGTCTATGTCTATGTCTATGAGCTTTCCAGCAGCTCCCCCCCTCCCCCCCCCACCGGCTGGGATAATGAAGCCAAATCTAGTGCATTTTTACTGTCACAGCCAAGTTTGTAAATCTAACTTCGATTTCCATGGTGTGCATGATTTCTTGGACCTTGTTGGTGAATTAAATAGAAGCATAATGCACATGAGTTACTGCTTTCCCCCCACCCGCACCCACACAATCCTGCAAAAAAATACTTCGGAATTCATCCTGCATCTCCGGTGTCTAATAACGAAAGAGACAATAATGTGTAGTGCTCCCAAGATACCACCTCTTCACCATATTGCTCTTACTTTTCCTGCTGTTTGGTCCTGATGACTGAGGTACCCAGGAGGAAGGTTGGCTGCTACAGCAATTGAATGGTCATGGGACACAAGTCCACCACCTTTCATGAGGGGAAGCCAAGCATATCCAACTGTATGGAAATAGAATAAAAGAATCATTGCACTGCTCTATGTTACAGTAGAGGGGGGGCAGAAATCATGGATAACAGGTACAGTAATCCTAATTTTAAAAAAATGAATAAACCTTTTCGGCTGCACTGCTATGTTTTAAGCTAAAAGGTGAGAGGCAGCAGTTTGATATTCACGGCTGACTACAAATAATACTCAAATTCCTTGTAAAGACAGGCCACTGATTAATTGACTTTAGGATTTCATGCCATTTTTAAATTCACCTGTTATCTTTTAGGTGTTTATAGGTGTAAGGTTTCTACAATTTCTGGCAAGAATTTAAAAATGAAATTGTGGATTTAGTTTAGCAGTGGCCTTTCGTTGATTACTGTAAAGTTAGGAAATATCCCGCCCCTCTCCCCCCACCTCAAAAAAAAGTCTGGCGGATGTTAACTAATGTACCTTGCGTTTCCAATGCCTCTTTCTTTTTGGAACCACTTTTTGCAGCAATTTCACAGCTGATGTGACAGAACGAGAAGAGAATGTGGTGCTTTTCGTGCAGCTGAGTGGGAAGTTCAATTTTCACCTGAAAAATAACATTACATTACAAGTAAAGATGAATATGTTGATGGCCATACTTGGAGCTTATGGAAGCTTCCATTTAACAGTCTTGTTTTTCTTAACCCAAAAAATCATTTCGTAATGTTTGGTCAAATTGACTTCAGTGTTCAAAGGCGCTGCTAGATCTATGGCCTGATGGAACATGATTTACCACAAACTACCATGAAATAGAAAGTTAAAATATTCAAAAGAACATGGAGAGTGATGGCACGTTTAAAAGAGATTTAGACAAACACGTAGAGGGGTATATTTCACCCACAAAATATACAATCAATTCAATTTAGAGTATATTCTGCGAAGCACTTTGAGACGTCTCAATGACATGATAAGGTGCTATATAAAATACAAAGATTATTATTATTATTATTATTAAGAGTATCAGAGAATATGAGGGATTAGGATGGATCACTTTTTGGTGGAGCAAACACCAGCACAAAACATAGGCCAAATAACCTCCAACCGGGTCGAATATTTCTTTGGATCTATGGTTCTAAGTGTCCTCTTAGCCATCCCCCTGGGACTACATAGCCCAAAACAGACTAAAGGGAACTACTATAAAGGATTTTTCAACCTTCTAAAGAATAGATATACACTGTAGAATGTACCACATTATGGAATTTTAGTAGCAAATATTGAAATTCGAATGATTGCACACAATCAGAGTGAGAAAATAATTTGGATGCTGTACCATATGTTAATCGGAACCCAATTCTTTACATGAATATACAAAATATAGGGTAGATTTTACACTCGGGAGTTTAGCCACGAGCTGCAAAAGGCATCTCAGTTCAGCTGAATCGGCTGCAGTCAGTCGGTCGGTCAGTGCATTCGATTGAGCCTCGACTGAGCAGATGCATTTCAGTTCTTTCGCCTGCACGTGAGGTGATTTGCATGTTAATCACAGACTTTTGCGGGTGCTTGTGAAATGAAAATACCTCATCGTAAAAATCCGGGTTATGTGAATGATGTAGAACTGCTGTGTGCGCTGCAGTGGTGAACAGTGGCACTCCTGCTTTGCCATAAATGCACTGTTAGGGAAAGAAAAGAAAAGAGCAATAAAGAACAGCTTGGGCGAAAACACGGACACAAAGGAACAAATGCTCGACGGACAATCATCCCGGTCTCATCTGCCTCAGCGCATCACTGCATCTGATTTTCTACTGTCTCTGTTGACATCAAAGTTCCCTACGGTGCAAGAGGCTTTTAGACATAAAATGCCCCCCAATAAATTATAACTCAGGAACATTCAAAGGCAAATGAGAAATATTGTGATTTACTGCTTAACTGACCCTGTACTGTGAAGATACAAATTTGATCTTTGAGAGGATATAAATTCTCCTGTTTCATTCCCAGGCTACCCAACATCCTGAGCCGGTGGAGTGAGTGAGTGTGTGAGTGTGTTTGCGTGTGTGTGCGTGTGTTTGTGCGTGTGCATGTGTATGTGTTGTGCGGGTGACAATTTCCAAAGCTCAACCACTGCACTGTGATCCAACCACGAGTGATTTTGAAACAGCTGCAAGTTCGACAAATTTCTCTCCTTTTCTTTAAAACAACAAATGCGTGGGGTCTTGGCTGGTCTTTAGTCAGTGCCTCTCAACAGCAGTGTTGCTGGGATCAGCAGGTCGTTAATTTCAGCAGTGGGAACATTAAAAAAGTGCTTTTCACTGTCAAGGCATTTTGGGACACACTTACTTTCAATGGTTTCGCTCCTTCGTCGTCTGAGCTCCTGAATTCAATGCACACAGCTATATTTCTTGCCTGGGGGGAGAAGAACTGTGCGTAAATATCTTGTATGCATCGTAAATTACAAAAGTGGGATCGGAATGGGAATAGCACCTCTCCACAATTCACACTGACCTCCTCTCAACCCTCAGGAAGGTGACATCTTTATTATAACGTTAAAGTGTTTAGATCATATATAAAGCGATAATTACATCAGCCAACGTGTAAAGTTGCTTCTGGGTCAGGAGTACCCCGGTAGGACGGGAATCACATTTCGACTGGTGGAATTTGTGAAGACAGATTGTGCAGTGAGACAGAACGATATGGACTCGGCACAATTTTCCACAGAAAAGCTTCGAAGCAGTAACTTTCTTTAATAGTATTCAGTGTCGGTAGATCCCAATGGAAAATTGTTACACAAATAAATTGGAAAGTCAACAGAGACATTCAACACACAATTGCCCATCTGTCGAGCTGGTGACAGCAGCATTGGGCAGCTGATGGAGGTTTCCCACTTCTAATGCGTATCACACACAGCGAGAAGAACTGTTCTTCTCGAAAATAGCAACGAATTATTGGTGCAGATTACCAATACAAATGATATCTAGGCTGTGAAGTCAATAATAGCTTTCCTTGTTCTAGGCTAGCTATTATATTTTGAGGGCGACTTATACACCAATGATGAACAACACTGGGCTATACATGCAATGACAAGCAATGTCACAGTAAGCCAGAAACAACCGTTATTGTGCTAAAGGGCAATCTTTTATACCTCATCTCCTGGTATTAGGAGCCTGTAGAAGTCTTGTTAAGAAGACTCATTTAAAATTGTTCAGTAGCTTCTTATTAGCGCACCAAAGGAAAAATAGGAAAGAAATGGACATCTTTTCAAACAAATGTGATGGAACCGTATAATGCAGTATGCATGTAATGTTCTACATTTATTTCCAATTTCTGCTGATAAATATTCCAATACCATCACAGATGTAAAACTAATTGTTGATAAAAAATAAACATAGTTTTGGGATCAACTAAGGAGATTACTGAAGAAAAAAAGTGCATGTTCTGCTAATATTTTATCGTGTAGCTTACCTTGGCAAAACACTTTTGGCTATCATATTTCAAATGTTTGGGGTAAATATAAACTTGGTTTTTGTAGACGGTGTAAGGTTGGGAATATTTTGCAGACTCTTGTACAAACTCTTCGACCTCGATGGTTGGGTCATTTTTGCTTGGGTCCTTGAATGGCTTAACAGATACGTATGAAGATGTCACACAATCTGAAAGAATTAAAGAACATGTCGTTTTTCAACCTTTTGTCATTTCTAACTAAATCTGACCTGACATTTAGAGTACAGCAGCTGCTGCATTCTTCATCCAGATAAAGCCAAACTAGACAAAATCTTGTCCAGCCTGAAGCATAACCTTAAAAGGAGGTATTTGCAGGTGAAATACAGTCATTAAACGTTTTTTTCTTCCAATTCATTGAAACTTTATATATTGCACATTGTCTGTGATAAGACTAACTTTACTAACAATCTACTTATATTGCCAAGAAGTGAATAAATGTGGTCCAGATTTTGATCATAAGTCAGATTTACAGAAGGAAATGATTAAGTAAATTTGAGTTTGTATTAATGATTCACGTATTTGTGATCTCAGAAAGATTGTGATGGAGAGATACTGTCACTTCAGATAAAGGGAATATATATCTTATTTATGTCATGTTACCTGTGGCATTAAGGAATATCCTCAAACACGGTTTATTTGACACAATTTCAGGAAACGTGGAAATCCATACATTATTCCTATATTCTCTGAACTCTGCATATTGAATTTCAAACCTTCTTTCTTTCAAATAAGTTTCACAGAAATGCTTTTTTGTAAATTCATGGAAAAATTGGAGTAAAACAAATAAATTGGGCACAGAAAATGTTTAACCCACAATTTTCTTCACGTCTGCAATATTTTTTTCCAAATTAACTGGTTCAGAAGTGGTTGATGTTGCACTTTCCTGAGGGATGGATGCTAATCTCTGCTGTAGCATTTTATATATGAACAAGTACACTCAAACGTAACTCCAGAAAAATATTACATATGTATATATACAGAAATATTTCATACTTAAATGTTCAATAGGCACATAATCCACCACTATGTCCAGATTGCCAGGAATAGTCTGTATTTTGGTTATTTTCTCAGCTCTACAACGAAAAAGAAACACAATTGAGTCAATGATGAGAATTAAACCAGTCTTTCAAGTACCTTCACGTTAGAATATCGGATTGAATATCCTTATACCTTTTGAACTCGGTTATTAGTTTTAGCAAATCCTCCGTAGAAACCTTGTTACTTTCTTGCCTGAAGAGAGGAGAGAAGCGAGAATCTCGATCTATTGTTCCTAGGTTGTCTTTGAACACTGACCTGAAAAATAAAGTGCAAAAAGATAACAATAAACCACTTAACCAAATATGACCAGGTACAAGGATTATTATTATCACGTGGAATAAAACAATGGTTTTGTGCCACTGAACGAATCATTTATTCACATTATTGTAAATTCTATTTATTTCCAAAGGAGTAGAGGATATTACTTTGGTGCCTGTAATAATAATACTTGCATTTGATATAGCAGCTTATCACGTTTCCGAGACACCTCAAAGCACTTCACAAAATATACCGTAAAGTGAATTGACTGTATATTTTGCGGGCGAAATGGTGGTATATAGAGATAAATACGTACCTTACTGACCAGGCAAACGGCATGCGGTATTTGCCCAATTTATTACAGAACTGCTTGTTATTCTTCAAAACTTTCTGTGCAGTCTGTGAAAAAGCACGAGAAAATATACCAGCTGAATATTGAGCGTATTATCATAACTTTAGCATGCACTTTAGCATGACCTCTGTTAAATTACCATCATTAAAATGAAACTAAAGTTTAAATATTTAACTATTCCTCCATGGAACCAAATTACAGAACAATTAGTTTGCAGCGGAGGCATGATCCGCTGAATGGAAACTGTTCTCAGGTCATATAAAAGTTTAACTATTATGCAGAAACAATTAACAACAGGTTTCCGTCTTGCTGCCATGCATCAATAAACAATGTGAGTACAATATACGATACGGATAAAGAGGTTACCTTGCTGGAATCTGAGCTCTTGATGTAGGGTTCAGCACAGCCAGGAATATTCCCCATTAGTACCTTCTCTATTTTCGCCACCAGCACAATATCCGGATGTGTGTTTGATACAGAGAAAATGGCCTGTTTGTCAGATTAGTATCAGACATTAATGTAATGCATTTCAGCAGAGGCATTTCTAAGCAAAATCCTTATAAATTCTACATTTTTGTCAATAAAAAAGACAAATTCAATCTATCAAACCAGGATACATTCTTTAGATCAAAAGAGGAGCCAACTGAGAGGGCATCATATTTTCTAAAGCATTAATATGAAGATTGTTAATGGACTTGAGTCTCCACCACATCTCATCACGTGGAGCCATTATAAATGCTTCCATTTATAATCATGCTCAAGTCATGTTCCTGTCTTGCCAGCACCCTGTCAACTCTAGGCACTGACTTGGGAAAAGCAACCAAATCCCCCCAAAAACTTCAAAATCAAGCTACTTTGAGATATTTTAGAAATATTTTCTAATTCGTAGATTCGAAAGAAATAGTTTTTATTTAAAAACAACTATTTGACAAAGGAAATCCATCAAAAGGATGAGTGGTTAATTTGTGAAGTTAATCAATAAATCTACAATGTTAACAAGTACAAGAAAAGGAAAACAAACTCTAAAATGATTGGAAATATATCCTCAAAGTAAATTTCACTGATGTTGCACAAAAGGAACACGCTGTCGATCTGAATGCTGAAAAAGTCAGCTGGTTGAAGTTTGAAAGTAATAAGTTATCCAAACTCTGAGTTTATATCTTTTCACAGACCTACTGTCTCATGTGGCCCTGTTTTAGCCATGAAAGCAAGTACTTTCTGACTGTGTCTATCCACATCAGATAACAAGGGGTTCATCATTGAGAGTTGTGATCTTTTTCTTGTATCCTAATTCTGTGCTGAGCTCCACAGCCAGTCAATGCCAAGATTTAAACCCGTGTCCCTGAATGGAATCCGAATGATCCGACACTAATTATTCAGATCACCTTAGTTTCCAAGGGATTTAACACATGAATTTAGTCCAACTGCAGATATCAATACTTTCCTAAAAGCAAAATAGTTGGTGTCTTCTTCCAAGGCACGTTAAACCATGTAGTTATGACAGAGAGATATAAGAATAGTTCAGCCCCCTGTCTGACCCCACAGCAAGTCCAAGCGACTAGACTCTTGAAACAACAATGCCACATTTTTGTCGGTTTCCATGAGCAACTAAAATTTGCGAAACATCTTAACAGATGCAGCATGCAAAGGGGATAGTGTGATCTGCCAAGGTTTGTTGAATTATTTCACACATGTTACGAAGATCAATCAGTTCCATTCTGTCCCATCTGACATGCCAATAAATTGGAACAAATCACTCGGTTGCGTTTGGATTTCTGTAAGAGTTTTTTTTTCTCCCAGAATTTATGACAAAGCTTCATATCACGGCCAAACGAACATCGCCGGTGTACAAAAAAAAGTTCCACCACCGCTAGAACTTCCAACTCTTGAGTGAAAATCAAACTCCTTCATCGTAAGCCACAAAACTCTGCAGAGAAATTAGCTGCCTATTTACATGCATGTCGTAAACATTACGACAGAGAAATCCACCTTGATTGGCTTGATTAGTTTGCAGAGAGGTAGACAGCCGTTGCTTAAGGTCCACACCTCCAACTGGTGGAACCATTGCTCAACGGGAAGGGACATGTGCTTGTGAGTACTCCGCGATTGTCAGATTTCAAATGGCCAACGTCTGACTCTCCTTCTTAGAGGGGGAGGTAAGCGGGGTCTGCATGCAGTTGACCTAGCTCGAAGATAATCTTATGCATGACTTAAAACAAAGCAGTCCTCCTGACATATAATGAGCTTTATAAATCAATGCCTGTTGTTGTGCTAATTTAATATATAAATACATAAAGAACAAATATGGTGTTGAGAATAAATGGGTGTCGCAACTTTCCACAAAGAATCACTTGTGGACTGGTAACCAGAGTATTGGGCTCTTAGATGTTTCCACTTGCACTGCTGATCCTTTTCCATGCAGTTCTTCAAAATTGGTCTCTCTCTCGCTCTCTCTCTCTCTCGACAGAGTATCTGTCAGATCACTCCACTAGTGTACCATGATATTTGCAATATCTATAGTCTCTATTTTTCAGCCACATAGACCTGAGAGCATGAAACTGTACTTTGAAAGATGTTTTGTGTCGTGGATTGATTTTAGAAATGGCAAAAATTCTTTTCACGTTTGACTTTCATAGAACATGACAGAAATAGACCTTTATCGCCTGTGTCTGGGCTAAATTTGAGCAAGTCCCAGGGATGAAAGAATACTACTTCAGAATGAAGTTTAAATGAGTTATGGAGGTCCACTGTTATGATCCACATAGTGTGCTTCCAGTCATTGATTATATAGCTAGATATCAAATGTATCAGAATTTATTACATTTACGCTCTCAGTTTTTCAATTTAGTTTACAGCAAATTGGAAATAAGACAATTGAACTGTCTTCAATTTAGAAGACAGTGATTATTTTCACTGTGCAAACTGTTTATCACAAGTCCACAAGGGAATGGCAAAACAATTTCTCTGATCAGTGGTTCATTTTATTGATGCTTTAGCTCCTCTCAGTCTGGAATTGGAGCTGAAGCTCGGAACACATCAGGTATATACGTTCGCAATAAGAGATATATAATCCTTGCATTTGTTCGTAACCTCGCGATCGCATTGCACTTAAGCCACAAGAGGTTTTGTCAAGGCTACTCAAACAGAGCAGCCTTTAATCCNTTTTTTAAACAACAAAACATCCACAAAACAAGATTCTCAGTTGCAAATTCATTGCATTGTTTTTTTTACATAAGTGGAGAGTTGTATGATTGGTGCAAATGAGTTTTTTACCAATCAGCAGTGACATAAAGGCCCAATTGTGATTTGAACATCAACGTAACATACTTAGAAGCAACTGCTCTGTTTTTCTTTCCATCCAAAAAAAACAATTTGCTCCCATTTCACTGGCATCCAATAAAAAGAGAAACGGGCATGTTTTAATTACCTGTTTCGGGTACTCTAACCATCCTTCGTGGAAACCTTGTATCTGAGGCTCCACGTTTTTTTGCTCCACAACTGTTTTGACAGGAGAATGTTGTCCTCCGTTTTCTGTCACTGACGCTGAGCTTGGAATCATCTGTCGAACGTTGTCATGATTTAAATCCACGTGAAAGTCTGCTGATATCTTTCGGTTCTCCCGAATGTCAAACAGGGCGAGGCTGATAAAGAATGGCTCAATCTACAACAAAAGAATTGTGCTTCCAGATTTAGATTGTGACAAAATAGGCACGTTATTTAAATATTTAACAATTCAGCATTATAGCTTGGATTTCTGGTACTTAAGACAACAAGTACATTTCATTACTTGTTTTAAACAAATCTTAAATGATGTACATTTAATTGGTATCGATTATAGTGTATTATATTTGTGTTGCATATTTCAATTCAGATTTTTTTTATTCTCCCGCTTTTCTCCCCTTTCTGTAGAGGTCACTGCTATTTGCTGGGTACAATTTTACGAGCATCGGCAGCCAATCTGTACCCAAGTGCCCATTATTCACGTGTGAGACAGATAGTCCTCGCAGGGCCATCAATTATGGAGGCCATCACATCTGGGCATAGATGAAAAAAACTCAAGCAAGTGTTCATCAGAATGGGATTAGGTCAGTTACACCCATTGATAATTTGGCATCAAACATAACGCCTTCTCTGTGGATTGGCACCACAATAGGTAGTCTCGGAGTGGGACGGCTTCTCGGCGAGCTTAATTCAATAGTAAGACAGCAATTGCTTACATTGGTTATCTGACCGCTCTCATGATCAGTGACACAGGCCTGAAGGTTCAACGTGAGAGACTTGCACATGACCCTGATCCGCTTGCCCAGCCTCTCCTCGTAAGGCTTCACTGATAAGTCGTTTAAGGAATAGTCGGACTTCTGTGTCTTGAGGGCCTGAAAAGGTACAAGGTGTTCACAGGTTCTACAGATTTTACATCGCCTTATCACAAGGGGCAAAAAACGATTTGCATAATTTTAAAAACAGATCTTGACGTCTTTCTTTGATTAAAGTCTGTTTGCATCGCAAAATTAGTACAAAAATAGCAAGAATGGAAGTTCAACAGACATTAGTCTCATGTTGGGTAAGGCTGTCATGCAAGCATATTAAACATCCGGCCTCAGTTTCCTGTTGGCAATTGGTGCAAGAGATTGAGAGGAAGTGGATGAGACCTTTTTTTAAAAGCCATAAATACAAAGAACGTACGAGAATAAGAAAACATGGCAAGCCATTACGTATAGCAGAAATGATTGTATCATGTGGCACGAAGCAATGACAGATGATGGTATTGTTGTATTTTGGATCATTAACACGCCCGGGGCCAGTTAAAAGCAGCCCTGACAGTGACCTGGGAGCAGGTCTTTCCTCTCGGGATTGTGGAAGAGGATGGGTTAAAGCTGGTGCACACCTGAAAATATGCAGTAGTAATAATACAATACAAAATGACATTTGTAAAGCCCCTTTCATGTCGGGAGGACGTCCCGAGGCGCTGAACAGTCAGGGATTAGGGCCCAAGCAGGGATGGTGGGGGTGGGGGGAGCGGGGGGGTAAAGGTTTGGGATCAGGGAGGGTCGAGGGTGGTGAGGGTGGGGGTAGTAGGGTGATCGAAGGCACTGTCGAAGAGGAGGATCTTGAAGCTAGCCTTGAAGCAGGGAAGGGAAGGAGCGAGGCAAAGGGAATTTGGGATGGAGTTCCAGAGGGTGGGGGCAGAGGGACTGAAGCCCCGACCAATAATCCTTGCCTTTGATATAGTGCCTTATAGCATTGTTGAGACGTCTCAAAGTGCTGACAGAATACATTGCATAGTGGATTGACTATATTGAAAACATTATATAGTGTATTTTGTAGTTCCTTACAGGAATATCAGGGTCAAGTGAAAAGAGATTCAATCTGTCTTCGTTCCTGGACAACCTTATCGTCTCTTCTGTTTCTTCAATATACTGTATAGAAAAGAACATGTTTTTTTTAATCTAGTTTTCATGCAAAATAAGGATTTTTTTTAGTTAATATATTTATTTATTATTTCTCTCTTTTTCCTTCCAAGGTGTTAACCTGGACTCACTTCCTCATTCTTTCCTGCCTTCTCACTGGGATCTATTTGTCACTCATTGCTATAAAGAACTTAATATACTATTGGGCCCAACCCTTCACTTGGGCTTTCAATAAAAGGGTATCAACATCAATATGGTTCAAAAAGACCATTAGGGTCCCAGAAAAGTTTCCCTACATAACAGTTGTACAGATTTATAACAGTGTGGCTCAGAAAGCAGTATAATACAGTACGCTTAACTTCATAGAAGTCGTATAGGTTGGGACCGTACATTTAATATGCAGATCAGAATTAAAAGAGCTGAGGAACTGCAGACAGGTTTACCTTTGCCAGCTCTGAATTGATGGCATCCTCAGCTGAGTCCATTACATCACTATCAATATCTGCTGCTTCTCGCTCTGTAGAATATTGAAATAAGAATCAAAACGTTTGAAATTTAACAATGCTACTGAACTAATCACTTTTTATTAAAACTTTTAACTTATCCTTGCCAAGCCGGATTGAAATGAAATAACAATTTGGAGGCGAGATCACCTCTTCAAATGGATCTTATACGAAAACAAGAACATAAGAAATAGGGGCAGGAGTAGGCCATTCGGCCCCTCGAGCCTGCCCCGCCATTTAATAAGATCATGGCTGATCTTCTAACCTAGTTCCATTTACCCGCCCTATCCCCATATCCCTTAATCCCTTTAGTTTTTAAAAATCTTAGCAGGTGTCTGTGACAAAAATCACCAAACTTGATTTACACTGTGTTTCTCCTGGTAGTTCAGCAGCATAAGATTAGATTTCAACAACAACTTGGATTTACACAGCGCACCTCATGCAGGATAGCATCCCAGCGCGTTTGACAGTGGCGGAGTATGATACCCCAGCCGGGCAGAGGGTGGAGGTGACTGTAGGCACGTTTCAAGAGGAAGGTCTGCAGCTGCAACCCGAAGATGGGGAGGGTGGGGGGCGGGAGGGGCTGGGGGGAACAAGGCGGAGGGATAGAGGAAGAGTGTTCCAGATTTTTATGGCTGAAAGCACGACCACCCATAGCAGAACTCATAATAATAACATTCATGAAAACCAAAATATGCTTAAATCATGACAACTTACCTAACGCCTCACCGTGTTTGACGTCAGTGAGGTCCACACTTTTTCTTTCCTGATTCGATCCTTCTGGATTAATCTGAAGGATTCTGTTTAAGGTGGAAATCCAATCATCCATATCCTGCTCACTGTCTGCTGCCAGCACAAAGTACGTCATGCTGTTCATCTTTAACTCAAAGGCATGCCGCCGAAGCTTACTGTTCTGGAAGGGTTAAGATATGTGGCAGAGAGGTAGTGTTTTTTCCAAGAGATAAAATAGCAAAACAATCTTCGCATTTTTTAAATAAATGACCATAAAGGCATATATGTAGAACCCACTATAATATTATTAATCGTCTTTGCATTGGAAGAACTGGATTTAATTGTTGCAGAAGGTATTTGAGTTTAATCCTTTTATAGTGTTGAGCATAATCCTTACTAAGTAACATTCTGAGCCAGAGATTCAAATGCATAATTGACTGGGATTTAATCAATATTGATGAGTCATATTTATTTTCATCTTTGTCCCTGAAATCAAACTTTGAAAGGTAGGTCATATCTCCAGTAATAACTACCATTTGTTAGGAGTATTATTCCTATCTACCTCAGCCACAAATGGCAGTTTTGCACCCAAAAACAATATCAGTTTCCATACGTCTCAAATGAATTTCCACAAAGTTCCACCATGAAGTAATTTGTACTGGAAACTGGATCAAGCTTCCCTGACTTCATTTCTCTTGGTAGCTCCACAGCTATCAGATATATTCCATTTACACTGGGACATTGCATCCAATTCAGATCAAGCTTATCCAAACTCTTTCTCCATCTTAACCCTCATTTTCTTTCCAGGACTCTGTTCATATGCCAGAAGGTATCAAATTATAAGTGTGACGTAGACTATTGGGTATTAATTTTAGACAGTGATGGGGGTAGATTTGAATTACACCATTCTCACCGGCTTGATTTTAATCACAGTGCTTCACAGACATCTTTAAGCCTCTGTCAGAAAGCAGGAGATTTATTCTGCAATAGACTGTTTTTTAATGACAGTGTTCATTTTGCTGTGAACTAGCTAGTTGTTCAAAACTGTGAATTGTTCGGTTGTAGTTCAGACAAGGCTACTGAGAGAGACAATGCAATGCCATCTGTCTCGAGTTGGATTGCAGGATCTGCAGACGAAAAGCATTGTTCCAGCCCAGTGCACCACCTCGTCCCTTTGCTATCACTTATCTTGGCAACAGCTGATTTGACTAGACCACAGCTTTACACTGGTCCCAACAAACAAGATTCCCGTTCTCTCAGTTAACCCTTGAGGACCTCCCAAATTACAGAAAAAAATGCATCCGAGGACAATGTACAGAGTAGTTCCTTATGTTTCTTTAGGCTTGCTTTAGATATTCAAAGTAAGAAAATAATTACTGAAGCTGTGATAACGAGTTTAAACAGTGACAGATTACATTTGACACTGTGGAGAATCCAATGATATGATACTTAGGGGATATAATCCCCATTCAGTAATAATATACTACAAACTAACCTTTTATTTTAGAATTGTATTTTCTTTTAATAGTTTGTCAACTTACCTGCAGAACTCCAGTGCAAGAGTCCAAGAAGATACAACCCTTTGGTTCCTTTGAGATTTTTTCATCTTTGTAAAAATTCATAATGTAAGAGTTATCTGATAACTGCGTTAACTGGAAATACCGCCTTTTAAAAGACTGTGGAATGAAAGCGAGTGTCAGTAAGTGTTGTGGGGACACAACCAATTATACATCTGAGAATAACACATAAAGGGCACAATCCTGGAGCGTTAATCATCTTTGCCAGAACGTTTATAAAAAAAATTATTTAAGTGTTCTGATTATCTTACATCCGAATACCTTTATACACACTGTATTGGTGCTTTTGCACTATCTTTAGGTTACAATCTATGATTTATTTTCGATTCCGCTGCTTACTACAGCAGAATTGTGGTTCTTTATTTTAATTGGCACATTTCGCACAATGCCATTGAACTGGATACTTTTGTAGTTTTTTTTTAAATAATTTTTTTTTGTGTGTCCAATTATTTTCTCACGTTCTCCCCAATTGGCATATTGGGGCAAACACGAGGAAATAATCTGCTCCCAATCCCTGGGCTCCTCTTGGCTGTAGTGTAGATCCAAGGGCATTGGGTTGTCCTCTAGCTCCCCACACAAGTGACTATTGTTCATATGTGAGCCTTGGCAGTAAGTATTGGCAGGCCTGTCACTGTAGAGGGCGTCACAGCCAAATAATAATAATAATAATCCTTGCATCTGATATAGCGCTTTTCACGATGGGAGGACGTCCCAAAGCGCTTCACAGAACACACTGTAAAGTGAATTGACTGTATATTTGTGGGCGAACGCGGCAGCCAATTGTGCACAGCAATGTCCCACAAACAGTCGTAGATTGAAAATGACCAATTTATTATTGTTTCTGGTTTTGGAGGGATTATTATTAGGCTGTGTGTGGAGTAAGGAAACTTGCCCAAGGTTTCGCCCTGCCTGGAATTGAACTCGGGTCTCTCGCTTGCAAAGCGAGTGCTCTAACCACTGAGCTACAGGACTCCACCTGAAATCTCCTTCTCCTCACCATCAGTAGACGATGCTCAATATGAACTAGAAACAGGTAACCTGGTTGATTCGAACCTCCCTTGCTTGGGGAAGCCAAGTGCCAATTCAGTCTCCCCATGCTGCCCTGGCTCAGACCAGCAAACTCTGCATGGACTTCAATTTAACCCATCCAGCACGTCATCTGTAAGCTGGAACAATGTCCACTTTACCATCAGTTCTTTAGATAAACAAAAACTCCTTGAGCTCACAATAATTGAACTGCATTATCTCAAGGCTTTCAACCACTGTATTTCATTCAATACCCGAAACCCATTTTCTTACAAAGGTTAAATTAAGTTGAAATACTGTTGCTTCCGTGAATTCAAAAGGAAAAAAGAATCATAAAGATTCATTAAAATATTACTGAAACATACCAAACCTTGAATCTATTATTTTGTTCACCAAGCCTATGTTAATCAATGAGAAGCTTTGTTCATGCTTTTTACTGCTTTCGGCTCATGATATTTATAAGAGTTTTACATTGTAACATTTGAAACAAGTTATCCAATGTTAATAACGCATGGACTTACACGGACAGTGATGCTGTTATTCACAGTGCTATTAAAATTCCCTTTATGAAGCCAGCCAGATTTATAAACTCCTATTCCTCCTCCACCTCCGCCCCCTCCTTTTGAAGATGATAGAGATGTTGTATCCTATAAATTATAAAAGCAGAAATATGTTAGCATTTTGCTTCATTTTTCATTAATTCATATTTAAAACCATTCCTTCCTCCTACCGATTTTTCACATTAGCCATCACTGATTGCTGAAAGAAAAGCCATCTTTTTGTATGGTTTTTTGTTAAAATGGATTGAAAAGAAATTCACAATCCATATAAAAAGGAGTTTGCTATTTTTAACCTATGGACGTAATATGAAACCCATAGGTTTTAGCACCACATTGTGCAATGACTTGTACATGGAAACACACATAATAGAAACACTATAGGGACAAGTCCTTAATATGAACAGTGGGGGGGGGGGTGTGTGTGGAGAAGAAACAACTAATAATCGCATGCAACCGATTACACAAACAAGATTTTAGATCAGATCTCAGAGCACGGATTTACCTCATCTTTTTCGTCATCGTGATGATCAATCTCGAATGTGTGCGAAGGCAGTTTTTCCGGTCGAAACTCTTTTCTACAAAAATAAACAATTTTTTTTTCTGATTAATGCCCCACATCTGTTTACAAGCATCAGCAAACCTGATGTTACTTTTCTCAAATGACAGTCTCCTGTTCCTGGCCTTGAGTCTTTTCACATATATCCCTTTCTCATTACAAATAAATAGTATCCAGATAATAAATATTCAGATAAGCGTAATATTTCTGTACAATAATTTGATTTGTAGGATTGAACCATTTTGTCTGTGATGAGAGGAAACTCAATTCCCCCTGGTCTAACAGTAGTTTATGTTGCTCACTTTCATTCCCCTGCCACTAAGTCAGTGCCAGTTCACAGCAGAAGTCTTTCCGCTGACTATGCCATGAGAAATAAATAATGGAAAATGAAAACCTTCATATCATGTACAGACACTTTATCCACTTAAGATTTACACGATGATAATCAAGTGGCATAGGATTGGCACACAATCAACTTTGCGCTAGTTTTAGCTGATACCACAGTCGTTCGTATTGCCATTCCCCAATTCGTACCTATATTTTGTGCAACAAATCAAAGTATTCCAAAGTGCAGAACTCAAGATCAGCCTCTTACTTTTTCAGATTCACAAGGTTCAATATGCCAACCCAGTTTGATTAGGACAGGTTAAGGTATTCATAGATGGAAGACCATATATATATATATATATAAAAAAATGGTCTTTCAAAGCTTACCGAGGCAACTGTTTAAAATCTCCTGAATACTGTTCGTATTTGTAGTCCACAACGTTCCAGTTAGAATTGTAATACTTGCAAGCCTGAAGAACAAGCAAATGACAGATAATACAGTGAGGAGTCAAAGTGAGATCACAGGACCACTACCAAATTTTATAACGCATTCAGTAAAGTTAAAGCTGTAGGAATAAATGTTTATTTTGCTTTGAACTTTCTTTGTAGCTTTCCTGTTTCTGTTTTTTTTCCCTACAATAAAATGCTCGTGGTTCCAATATTGACTCACAATAAATAATACAGTATTTTATTCACATCATTAAGTCTATGATGGGCGAAAGAAATGTATTCATGTTAGCAAAAGTTGTTTAGATATAATCATTCATTAAAAATCCATTGGACCCAAAGGCTCAGTTGCACAGTTGCTAATCGATGGTCACTATCTCCAGATTTGACATCATTAATGTGATTGTTCAAGAAAGATTTATGATAAGATTAATAATAGGGCAAAACAGCTCCATTGAAAAATAAAGTATTGAATCAGCAATGAATGTGTTATCATTCAATGAAAATAATTCAGCTGTCAACAAAATAAAAATCATTGACAGATTTTAGTATCAGTTTTGCAGACATTTGTCAACAACAACAACTTGCATTTATATAGCCCCCCTCACTCAGGGTAGCGTCTCAGAGGGCTTAAATCGCTCCATATTTCATAAGAAGCGTATTTATATTTATTTATATTTATATGATCATGTAGTAATGACAAAACACAAAGTGAAAAAGGAAACTGGTGGAGAGTACAAATGAATAGTACTAAGAAATATTTGTTTTCTAAAATGTAATTCGATCAGCATCATTATGTGGCTTGAATACAACTTTCCCTATTCCAGATACAAAGCCAATAAAAACACTCCACTACAGCTGCAAAAGCAGTACATTTAAATGGAACAGCTTTATGGCAGATTAATTCAGAAACATCCTAACATGACTAACCAGAATAAATGAGCACTTAACAATGGTCATTAAAGCTTCATTCATTTGCACCCTGTTCCTTAAAGTCAACACATTAAATAATGCATCATTACTACTGTTCTCTATGAATGGTCATGCCTTCGTTACACCATCAGGTTACTATTATTTTCATTAAGAATCTCTTTATTTCAGGAAGTTGCCAATTCCCAAATAATGTCATCAATCATTATCATGTTTGATGAATTCTACATACGTCTCAAGTGATATAGACATAAATCTATAATGTTCCACTGCGATTCTTACCGCCCAAACAACACCTGAAGATCACACACGTAATGTGTGTGTGTGTATCTCTTTGTGTAGGTATGTAGATACGGAAAGGCGAAAGAAAAATATAGATTCTCAACCATGACCTACTCTATTGTATCAGTAAACCCATAATTATTGTTCAAGTCATTGTAGTAATACGTCGTATCATTCTCTTATGGGAATTTGTACGTGGCTGAAAGACTTCACCCTCCCTTAAGTATATTCTCGTGCTCATCAAGATGAGATATCTGAGGGCAACAACAACAACTTAGCATCCCTCACGCAGGGTAGTGTCCCAGAGCGCTTGAAAGATAGCTCAAGAGGTTAAGAATAGCCCAAGCCAGATACAGCATTCACTACAAGTGTTAACACATGCTAACTTCAGCTTCAAAACAATACCGTCTACTCCCATCAGTATGACAGTTCCATTATTCGCACCATTCATCTTTCTGCCTTTGGAAACAAAATGTTTATTTAATGGACTGGCACCCAGCAGGAACTGCTTGAAATCATGCAAACTCACTTCACTAAGGAACCTGATGGCCAAGGGAAAGAGGTAATGTTTATTCCATGGATCTGGGCTGGATTCAACCCTGCATCCTAGAGCTGAAAGCACGATATATCATCGAGGATGGCCACATTTTTCTGTACCATAAATTTCTATGATTCTATGGTTCTATTTTTGAAGGTTGATTCATGGTGCTATTTTGTGGAATTTACTGTACTTTCGCACAGGCATTAACTGCTGACTAATAGAGAAATGTGAAATATATTGACTTCCCTCTCCAGATCACATGATTTCATAGTTGCAAGACCAACTTTTTCAATAACATTGAACCACCCAAAAATGTTCAAGGGACCATTTCTATGAAGGTGGGTGGGCGGGGTGGGGGTGGGGGGATGGTGATTATTGTATCTACAGAGGTACAGAGGTAAGGGGATATGGCAGATAAAAGGGACTGAAAGGATTGCTCTTAATGGAGCTGGCACAGACTCTGTGGCCGAATGGTCTTCTTCTGTGGTGTAATTGTCTACGGTTCTATCAATTCGTTATTTAATAAAATAAAGCAATTATTCAACCGCAATAAAAATCCACAAAAGCAATATTGAATACTAATAATGATGAGCAAACCATTCACCTCTGATTGTTTTCCTTAAGAGGCAAATTCAACCACCTAATCTTTGCCTTTTATGTTTATTTTCTATTAAACAAAAAATCTGCACTAGTAGAGGAAAAGTGGCATTTCCTCAACAGAATCTGGGTGTGTTAGATTTTTCACAGTAATAGAAATCACAGCCATGCTTCAGTCAACACATCATTTTAACAACTCATAATTTATCTCTCATAATTAGGAATGCGCAACAGTTGCATTAACCATTTTGAGTTCTAAATTCAACACAAGGTTTAATATCAACATAATTACAGTATTTCTGTTTCACACAAATAATGCATTCTAAAGTTCTCAATATCCTAAACTAGCAATTTATCTCTAATTCTTTTCCTCTCAAAGTCTGAGCCGAATTTGTAACTGAAAATATCTGCCCCATTGGACAGCCTTTATTCCCTCCTGCTTGGCTGAACTCCTGTTTGAATTTGCAGTGTATTCTTGGCTGTCACGTTTCACCCGCAAAATATAAAATCACCTTACAGTACTTCTGTGAAGCGCTTTGAGGCATCTTGAAGACGTAATAAGGCACTATATCAAATGCAAGGATTATTATTATTACAGTATATTTCAATTGAACGGCATTTAAATCAACACTGCACATTTAGTAACCCTTTTGGTGTAAAGGAAGAACAGTGATCATAGATTGCCTGGTTCCACGAAACCAGTGAGGGAACTAGTTCAATGACCTTGAGATCATTTTCTGCAACTTGGTTTCTGACTAAAATATGATCTGCAAAGTAACTGCAGAGTTGCCAAATTGGATTTTGTTACTAACCACAGTCCAAAAAACTTGGCTCACTGAATGCTCCTTTTTTCATTTTCTCTTGGCGTAGAGGGATTTATGAGTCCTATGTTGCTTTATTTTTATTTGCACCTTATTAGATTTTATCTCTCGTTCTGGTATTGCAAATACTGGATTTCTGAAATCAGATCTATGGCCCCCAGTTGAGAATTCAAAAACATATAAATATTTTCAAAACATTTCTTTTATGGTTTGAACGGTGTCAACGTTTTCAAATTTGAGCTCAAAAGCAAAAAAAAAAACTTGAACTAAAAAGTTTTTGGATGTAAATGCACAAAAAAGAGGGTGTAAACCAGAGAGCATTGGAACATGTTCACACATCATTGGGATCTAAATATACAGTAGAGGAGGCAAGACAATGAAACTTTTCAAAACACCAAAATTGGCATCCAGTGACATGTCTACCCCTCTGATTGATTGATTGATTGATTGATTGATTGATTGATTGATTGATGAGGGCTCTGCACAACCTATTGTATTGCAGATCTCCCTGGCTCAGGCCTCAGAGGTTTATCGCAGAGGTTTGACAGCTAGAATTATTGCTGTAGTTTTATCATTTGGTCAAAGATATTGGTGAAGGATTGGAATAGGAAAATAACAAAGTCACTTTAGTGGAAGCTATTGAAATGAAAGTTAATTACACGTTACATTCAGTGTGAAACCTTAAGAGGAACTGTTTGATGAATCATAGGGAAACACATGCATCCAATTTTGAATCTCAAATTAACTATAATTAACTGCTTCTCTTCCCACTGTGTGAACTGAGGAATATTGCTCAAGAGTCATGAATTATTTCAGGGAGCAAAAGAAAAGTGTACAGAATTCAGGCAATGCTGGTTGTTTTATTATATTTGAGAGCAATAACAGACTTGACTTGTATCTAATCATGATATTTTATGAGCGTACTGATGGAATACATACAGGATGCGTTATTGAGCTATAATTTGCAATGATATAGTAACTCGGAGTTCAGTTTGCCTGGTCCATAAACATTTCAGTTCAACTTACAGGACTCCATTATGGGAGCCTGCTGTTTATCAGTTTGGATCATAAAAACTATCTTACGATTGAATTAAGGCACCCCACAAACTCCACTTGGTTATCCTATCAAGAACATGGCCTAACTCACTCTGTAGGTTTCAGTAACCCTTACACGCATTTCATGCCATCTTCAGGAAATACCATTCAAACAAAAATCTTCAAAAGAAATTGACTGAAAGGGACAGAATAGAAGAATACTAATATGAATCGTAACCCTTTGGAACAATCTGCTTTTAAGTGCTCTGGGACTCTACCCTGCGTGAGGGGCACTATATAAATGCAAGTTGTCATGTTTTATTTTAAAGGGGCCCTTATCGGGAAATAATAGTCAACCTACTTCAGAGTTTAAATCTTGTTATTAACATACAAAATCAGTTGTGCAATCCCGCATCCATTTTTTGGGGGGCTAAGTGGACATATTCACTTCTGCATATGGTTCAAATGTACTTTCAACAAATCTGCAGTCTTTTAGACTACGTTCTTCTGTAACCTTTAGTGAAAAGCAATACACTGTACATTTCATACTTTACCTGTTTCGCGAGTAGATTCTCTGCTTCATTTTCCGCCCCTTCAGGTACCATGGAATATACAGTACGCCTTTCCCTTGATATTGTTGATGTCTAGGCATAAACAGAAAGCAAAATTGAATGATATGTTGGTTAAAGATTCTTGGTGAAATGTAAAGAAGTATAAATAGAAAGATATTCTGAGTAAGAAAATCTGCTATGTAACATGGCAAACTGGTTCAGTTTGACATTGTTTTGGCTCACATGACTTCAGTGCTACTGCTGTTGAACACTGAATACTGTACTTTCCTCGCACCAAAAAATGTTTCATCAACACAAAAAACTGCTGCCACGGTATGTCACATAGCCAGAACCACTTTAGCAAATATTCAAAACAACTAAACAATATTAAATACTGTTTCCTGGATCAGCCTGTATGCATCATTTTTAACTGCAAGTTTAGAAATGATTAGGGTAAGTTACCATTGACAATAAACAATTTACAGAAAGTGCAACTACTTCACATTACTATGCAATTTGGATCGAATAGCTCACACAGACTAAAGCGACATTAGTGTAATGATTGTAAAAGTTATCTTCTCTTTAAATGCCTCAGTCACAGCATCCTGCATTTTGGAGAATGTTAAACATATTAGGTCAAATTAAATGTTCCACTGTCTAAACTTATTTTATGCATAAGGTGCAATGATTTACATTTAATTTACATGGCCAATTTCTGTTTGTATCTTAAAAAATTCAGGACCCAAGAGATAAAGCACAAACTGTGCAGGAAGATACTACAAACTGACAATCCCAGAAATAACTTGTATTTACATAGCATCGTTAATACAGGGTAGCATCTTGGAGTGCTTATGATAGTAATGTAGCCTGATGCAGAACCAGAGAGAGCTGACTATTCGCACGGTCAAACAGGAAAGTATTCAGGCATGATCTGAAAATGGGGAAGGAGGGGGAAAGATGGAGAGATTGGGGGAGAGAATTCCAACGTTCCGGGACTTAGTGGCTAAAAGCATGGCTGCCGACGGTGGAACAAAGGGACAACAACAACAACATTACATTTGTATAGCGCCTTTCACGTCGGGAGGATGTCCCAAGGAGCTGGACAGTGACAGCATTTCAGACCCGAGCTGGGATTGGGGTGGAGAAGGGAGGGGAGGGGAAGGGGGTGGCCGATCGCATGGTCAAAGAGGAGGGTCTTGAGGTGGGACTTGAAGGAGGCTAAGGAGGGGATGAGGTGGACTGACTGGGGGGTGGAATTCCAGAGGTTGGGGCAGAGTGGCTGAAGGCTCTCCCGCCAATGGTGGGGCGGGTGGGTCGGGGGACGTGGAGCAAGCCAGAGCCGGCTGAGCGGAGGGAACGGGAGGGTTGGTAGGGGGTTAGGATGTCGCAGAAATAGGGTGGGGCGAGGCCATGGAGGGCTTTGTATGTGAGGACCAGGATCTTGAACTGGATTTTCTGAAGGATAGGGAGCCAGTGGAGTCGGGCGAGAATGGGGGAGATGGGGTCATGGAGTTTGGTGCGGGAGAGGACACGGGCTGCAGAGTTCTGAACTATCTGCAGGGACAAGCAGGAGACCGGAGCCAACTGAGCGGAGGCAACAGATAGTGGAGTGGGGAATAAGCAGGTATGGAGTTAAGAACGGAAGTGTATATGGTCGGCGGAAGCTTGAATTAATTGGATGAGGAAGATCCTTTGGCCCATGTTATCTAAATCTTCCTGAGGAGCTCCACCTTCTTTTTTATCTTCTGCTAGTTATATATCAGTTGAAATCGAGTGATTCAGTCACTAAACCTGTTTTGACACTGACTTTCAAAATGTAATACTAGACATCAAAATTGCTTTGTAAAATATTTTTTATCACCACACACATGTATTAATGTGTTTCACACTAGAGTATTAAACTAATCTATTGTACGTGAGATGGGCAGTGTATTGTAGAGGTAGTGAGAGAATCCATTGGATTTTCTGCAAACAGATTTCTTAATATCCTTTTTTCCCTCCTCAAAGTCGCTTATGGAATTTACCTTGTTTTGCTTTAGATGAATAGGAATTGCAGCCAAGGATATAAGATGGCTAGGAGTTTTGCAGCAAATAATTTACAACAGCCCTACTTCTTGGGGAATTCTACTGGCGTCTGCGTTCAATTTGTTTCCAGCATTAATGTTGGCTGATCTTTCGCTTGCAAAGTTATGGGCATCTTCAGAGACTGAGATCCAAAGTATACTCAAAGCAAATCTCTATTTATATTGCAGCTGCACATTCGCAATTGGCAGTTAATTCACACTACCGGTGCTGACATTCATGATATAACCAGTTCAAGTCAGCACCTCTGGATTTCTAATAACTTGGACACTCATCTGAGTTTGAGACAATAATAAATATCCTGTCATTTTCTGCCATAGAGAAAAACAGAGCAGATGTGTGGTCCTTGCAACAGATGTTTTTTGTCAAATTGTTCATCTCAGTGTAACATTGCCAATGTCGTCTGGATAAAGTGGCACTGAATACTGACATGTGACATATTATCCTTATCTGGCATTCCACTGTGCTCTGAAACTCGAGCCTACAGATGGAGAGTGAAGCTTGAAATGCACAATGACGTGAATATAAATCCAGCTTAAAAATGCAGGAATAACAGAAGCATAAATAACATCCGATGCAAGAACTGACATATGGCAACTGGACAAGACCTGTCTATGATTTAGTCCGGCTTAGGTTTGGATTTTCTCTGAAAATATTCAACCCAATTATTCAAGCATTTTCTTCAATCAGACCTCAGCTTGATCACCCTTTTAAATGCTGTGAATAATGAATTAATTCATGCTGCAGTTCGTAGGGCAAGGCATCAGGGGGATAATTCTTCGAATGCCAACCCTGGCGGTTGAGTGTGTTATTCCGTGCTGGTTGGTTACATTTACCATCTAGCAGCAACTCACACTGTGAAGTCTCTGTAATACCTAAAACTCAAATGCTTAAAGCACACACAGCTACCATAATCGTGCGCATTAACAATAACAATGATCTGTCATTTGATATTAATTACCACATCTATTCAAGTACCTAATAATATTGGTTGTAATATCACGCCACAAAAAATATTTGTAAAAAGTGGCAATGTGTTTTAAGTGCAATTCAAAAATGGTATTTCAACAAAATACAACACTTAAATGCCAACAGAATGTCTACAGCTTGTGACATGCTGAATCAACGTGGAATACAAAATGCAAACTGTTTTTTTTTACCCAATTCATGAGAATTCTATTTTGCTTTCAAAGCAGATTCCTGAAATGCTCGCATTTGCATGTGACAGAATTTAATGAAAATATGTGTTACAAGCATTAGATTGTGCTTTAGATTGCTCATCTGGGCCCTACTGACATGTTGGCAGGCACGGAAATGAAATACTCACAGAGAAATCATCATCTGGAAACAACAACATTTCTTTGAGAGGATCGTTTTGAATGTCTTCGTCATGTTCTTCAATGATTGCCTCGTAGTCCAGTGGTTCAATAACTTTAGGTTTCTCTTGCTGCGGAGAAAATAAAGAGTATCGATGAAGCTCCACTCAATTCATACCAAATGCTGGTATCCTTGATCCCCACCCCTTACATACACACTCGCACACACACATGCACACACACACGCACGCTCGCACACATGCTTGCACACACACACACACACACACGCACACACACGCTCGCACACATGCTTGCACACACACACGCACACACACACGCACAGCCAAAAACATAATTTTGAAAAGCTATTAGAGTATAATAATTTTCCCATGTTTTGTATTTGTATTGATATAATGATCCTCATATTTGATATAACGCCAACAACATCTGAACATCTTAAAGCACTTCAGGGGGAACTATTGCCAAGTGTAGTGGCTGGGATATTTGTAGGCAAATATTCAACATAACCAAACTGCACACATTTCTATTTTTTTCCAATTTAAGTGACATGACATTATCTAAAATAATAATTTTCTAGAATAACAAACTAGTTAGGTCCAGTAGTGTCTGAAATTAGATACTTCCTGATGCATTAAGTATTCTCATCATCTCTATGATCTAATACTGCACATTGTGCCGGGCAAGCAAAATAATTACCATTCATTTATTTATCAGTAAATTTTACTTCTGCTTTGTAGAAGCAATATACTACACCTTGATGGTGACTGGAACTCTAACATAGATTCAAGATAACAACTGTGTTATCAAAACATTGTGTTTGTCATTTTTTTTCAGTAAGAATTACAGATGCAGTGGAAGATTCTGAATTATTTATCCCCGTATCCACAAGTTTCTAAAATCTGGTCATTGTTTTGAGCAAACAAGTTCAGGGAATTTTTCATGATTAAGAAAAAATCCCATGAGTTTGCAGACTGCACATAAACTACAGTATCAGGTGCAAATTACATTTGATTTAAAACAGCATGTCCTCTAATTGACCAGATGCACAATGATTCCCATGCGTCAACTAAAACATAACTGAGGTCGGGCTTCAATAAATATGTTTTGCTTTAAAGCCTGAACATCTCTTTCTGCAAAGCTTCAAAACGTTGAGTTTTGAATGTGTCCACAGGCAGGGAAGGGGAAAGAGACAACAAGATTATAGGAGTGAAACCATGGTTACAGCCACAGGACTGGAAACTGGGGTTTGTGTGAAACTACCAATCTAACTTCTGAGGATTAAAAAACAGCTTCGAAGCAGAAGCGAGTCAATAGAGCTCCATTAAAAAGATTGCCGTGCTCACAATGCTGGCGGAACAAGCTTCCTCTAACACTAAAACTGCCGCAACCCTCAAAGTCGTTCAAACACATCATAGTTACTTGATTTAAAATGATCTATTTGCTGGTTTCCTAGATTTTCTTTCAGAAACAAAATCAACACTTCCATCTTCCCAAGTAAAGCTCTTTATTGTTGGCATGGAAACTACAGCACAAGTCAGCATGAAATAATGGACAATACTTTGTTCATGAGTGAATATGGAAGTTCTATAAACCTGTGACAACCACCATCTGAGTATACAGAAGTCACGGCAACAAAACAGTCCAAATGAGCACACAGGATGTGGGAGATGTGGGTTTTTCTTTTTTGCAAAATTTTATGAAACTAAGTGTTCTGTGCTGGTGTGGTTTGTAAGCTCATTACTCATTTTTAAACAGTATTTTGTTTCTTTCAAAAAAGTTTCTTTTCTTGGCATCATTTATCCTTGAAGGATTGTTTATTGGTGTAGGGCGTGCAACATTTCGCCCACAAATATACAGTCAATTCAGTTTACAGTATATTCTGTGAAGCACTTTAAGACAACTCGAAGAAGTGATAACGCGCTATATCAAATGCAAGGATTATTATTATTATTATTTCTGTCCCTTCTTATTTTTGAACACTTTTGTAGGATGACAGAGGGCTTTAAGATCTTTAAAAAATTGCCTGCTAACTATTACAGATGTTGCCATTCAATAGCTCCCACCATTGGCTCTTCTTCATCCAGAATGGCAACACCTTCAAGGCTGCAAACTCCTCCATATCTCCTCTTAATGTGACACTATGATTAGCTCGTAGGAGATGGATGAAATTTCTGTCCCTTATCCTCTCTCTTCCCCGGCAGATAAACAGTCTCAGAGCACTTAAAGTAACGGGCCAACAGGACATTGAGGTTAGTTCCAGAAACAATAACAAAATTACATGTGTAAAGCGCCTTTTGCATCGGGAGGAGGTCCCAAGGTGCTGGACAATTAGTGTTTCTGACCTGAGCTGGGGGTCAGGATCAGGGAGCGTGGAGGGCAGGGGAGGGAAGAAGGGTGGTTGAAGGCACGGTCGAAGAGGAGGGTCTTGAGACGGCACTTGAAGGAGGCAAGGGAGGGGCCGAGGCGGAAGGACTGCAGGATGGAGTTCCAGAGGATGGGGGTAGAGTGGCTGAAAGCCCCCCACCTGCCAATGGTGGGACCGGTGAGGCAGGGACGTGAAGCAGGCCAAAACAGGGGAGAGGCCTTGTAGGAATTTGTAGGCAAGAGTGAGGATCTTGAATTTGATATGCTGGGAGACGGGGAGAAGATGGGGTCAAGGGAGGATGTGCAAAGCTTAGTGCAGCTGAGGATGCAAATATACAAGCAGCAGAAATATGATTTATTAATAATAATAATGGATAACTTGCTCTTTCCCCTCCCTACATCCATATATGGCAGTGAATTAAAACTCAATGCAACATCCCGTACTTTAACTCATTCTTTCCAAGGACCTCATCCACTTATGAGATTTTAAACCAGATATCAAACTGAGAGCATAAGAAAATGAAGCACAACACCGCACTATTTAACAGGTACAAAACACACCTGAAATTCAGTCCTCTTATTGTCCATGTTTGAAGCACCTTTTTTTGAAAGCTACTGTAGATGTGACGCAAATGATTATTGCTACATGTGTCTTCATCAAGAACTCCATCGACAATGACTGACCACTTCTGTCAGAGCATTATTTATAAGCCTGCTTCCTGGAGATTCCCCTCAGAATCCTCTGGGATTTACCAAAATATTTCTGTGACGTTGTAATTTCCCTGCTCATGTTTCAAATAAAAATCACAACAGCTATACACTGCTGACTAACACAGAAAACAGGCAGGAATGAATCGGTCCACAAGTGATTTGCATTTCACATTGAACATGAAACATTCTGAAAATAAGATGATGCCAATAAGAATACCAATACCAAGAATATCACTGCTTCAATGTGTGAAACTTGCCCGGACAAAAGAGGGAGGGGAAACCCAGAAAACAGTTGCCAAATTAATTTTGAAACTACGATTTATACTCCTTGTCTCCCCCCTCCCCAACCACAGAACACTTTTCCCCTTTAAGATTGTCTAATTATGGTTCCCCAAAACCATACCTTTTCGCAAAAGAGTTAGCTGTTCTCCATTCCCACTGACAGTAGGACCATAGAAGCAGCCATTCAGTCTGTGTCTGCGTGCGTGTGCTGGCACTTTGAAAATGTAATCCATTCAGTCACATTTACCTGCCCTTCGCCCAATACCCCTGCAAATTATTCCTTTTAAAGATATCAATCTAAATTCCCATCTGTTTCCAGATAATGCCAATGAAAATCGAGTGAGTTGTTCTTTGAGTTTAACAACTCATAGAAAGTGTCCTGAGATTGTGATCAAGAACAAGAGCATTCCTCTCTAACTTGGGGGATTGTGCTCAATTGATGCTGCCCCATTGCTTGGCACCAGATCGATTCAGTTAACTCAAAAATCTGAACCTGTAATCTTCTGAGCTCATGGCCTTGTGTTTGTTGCACAGGCCGGTGCCTTTGTGCACAATACCAACCAGAGAGCCACGATATTCCCAACTTCTGCAAACATTCAGTCAATTAGGTGTCTAACATGTTGCCAACATTGAGAATCAACACCTCAAGCTTTTGGCACAGATAGTTGGGCACCTTTAGCTGAGGGATGGGGGAGTGCAGAGGCAAATCAGACAATTGTTAAGAATTTTCTACATTCACACAGTCAACCGTTCAATCTCTCCCCATGAAAACAAAAGATCATTCATTTTAGTTGGATATTTGTGTATTATTTTGCAACAGCTGTTAAAATGCCATTGATATTCCTGTCCCTTTGACAATTTCAATACCGGTAATTGCAGAACTAAGGGTCGAGCGGGATTGCAATACATTGCAGAGTGAATGAACAACATGATAATCTAAGCTGCACTTGACCGATATTGTGCACAATATCCAGCCACACATGTCCTTAATCCATTTCACTTCTATAGTTAATTTAGCAAAGCACTAAACTAAAGCACTAATGCCAGATATGCACACACATTTTTAAAAAAAATCATTTCAAAAAATCATTTCAACATCTCGTTCACTGATAGTTCACCTAAATCCAGAAAGTGTACATCACTTTCATTTGTTTAAATGCTTTTCCTATGTACGTCAATTGATCTCCCTTCNAAAAAAAATACTTCAGGACATTCTGCTCCAAAGCCAAGAGAGGACCTTAGGCTGCTTCCTAAGGCTACTTAAACACTATTATTGCTAATGCTGTTCCATGCTAACAAGGGAACCCTTAAAACAGATGTTCAAATCCATCAGTCATATGTGCTGTGATAGCTGGCGGGCCTATTGCTTGGGAATAGTGAAGTGAATCAAGAAGCTTCACCACTTACATTTTATTCCCAGGAATTGTTACAGTGATAGGTTACGCGTGTGAGAAAGTCCCTTTACAATTTGGAATTTTGAAAAAATCTTGTGCGCTAACATTTATCTGAGCCATTATGGAAAACATTTCCTTATGCATTACAAAAGATAAAATTAAAAAATCCTGGTGCTGTCACTTAACACTCATTTCTCTTCAATGGCATTAAGCTTATCCAGTTCAAACGGCAGATGCACAAATGGAAAGAATACTTAGATTGTTACTCAGTGCGGCCCAGAGGTTGGAAATTTCTCTGTGGTAATGTCTGAGTGTGTGTGTGTGGTCAGGAAGCAATTCTTACACCTGTGTGATCATCG